AAATATTAATACATCATAATTATTGCACAAATATAATAATAACTATTTTAGGTTTAAACTATATGAAACACATCAAAAATCATAACTGCTTTAATAGATCACCACAAATCATATAATCTACACAAAAAATAAGTCCATGTTTCAGCAATCCAAACATCCACAACAGTAACAATGTTATAAATTATATCATACAAATAATCCTATAATTACTAAAAAAATATATAAATAAATAAATATATGTAGGATAGGGTAAAAATATGGAATATATATATATATATGCGGGTAGAGTAAGAATACAAAAATTGAATTGGTATTCTGCATTTTTATCTGATTTAATCGAAAGACTAAAAATTATTTTGCATTCTTACTTAATTTTTTCGACTAGCCGACCAATAGGGTTGAACAGATAAAATAAAAAATTATGAGTAATCAAAAATTTGAACACATGCTTTCAAGCAAACAGGAGCAGCTGGCCGGCAGACCCATTGTTTTCCAATAGACCACGCTAGCACAACTGGTCACCAGGCCATGGGCCAACCGTCCATGAGACAGTCTGCGTGAAGTCCAGTAGCCCACTGGACAGGACCCTGACTTATGATTTTGATGTCTAGTCGGTTTAGAAGTAGTAAGGTCCGGTACCTTGTACTCTATTCCAGCACTAGACTGGGAAAAAGTCTGTTGCCTTTTGAAAATCCAAGTCAGTACGTTTTTTCGAAAAATACGTAGCAGTTGATAGTGGCAGCCAATCCAATCAACATTGGAGAATACAGAGAAGGTGATTAACAATCCCAGAGTGATGATTGGACCCAAGTTAGCAACAAGAAAAATCGAGGTCCACAAAGGCAGCCCATTAGGTGGGATCGATGCCCAACCATTGGCCCAACAAAATCATACGAATTTAAAGTATAAGATTGATTTGGAAAAAACATAGACCCATTAAGACTTGCTAAGTGCCCATTAACACTTAACCCAATCCAATGGTCAGATCACGGATTATAAATTTTTGGGGAGAGAATCTTGCACGGCCCATAACCCACTATTGACCGTTGATTAAAGAAAAAATTGTGAAAAAGTACACCATGTAACACATATTTGTGAAAAAGTATCTTAATATAAAATATTTGTATATAAGTACATTTGTGTATAAATGTTTGGTGAGGAAGTACACTTTTGCTGAATTGTAATTTTTTCTCTTACAAAACTGTCATTTTTTCTTTATTAATGGGATACAAATACGGTAGTTATATTTTAGATTCAATTTTCTTCTTTTTTTTTATGCTATATCATTTTTGAATTTTGAATTTCCACTTCCTCTTTCATTTAACAGATGATTTCATTAGCCATTCCTTAACCCATGTTTCAAATATCCATATGTTAGTCACAGTGTGACAACAAATGTCACAGGATTCACTGTTAATGTTAAAGTTAGACCTTGCAATGTCACAATGTTATAACACTGAAGTAACCCACGTTCAATATGGAAGTAGACAATGAGACAGTCAGACCATCTAATGACACACTGCTGCAACCCAAAATCAGCATGATAAACAGACAATGACACACTGCTATCAGACAATGACACATTACTTCCAGCCAAACGCCACCCTCACTCAAACTAATGTCATCATATTTTAACCTTCAAATGAAACTGATACAACCAATGACACATTGATATCATCAAAAATTTCACACTGATACAAAAGAAATGTAATTCTACTGTCAGTCATTTACCTAATGTCACACACTGTTACAAATCAAATTAACAAAATTGACAATGCAATGTCATCCTGTTATAACCCAAAGTTGCGCTGTTACAATCCAAAATCACATTGCTACAACCCAAAGTCACATTAGTACTCCCACAATCAAACAACATCATCATAGAAACAGTATTACATCAAAATCCCAATGTCATTGTTTAATAATCACATTTACACTTCAAATATGTAATAACAGTTTGCAGAACTAATCATGCACCCACAAATTTGTCTTCATCATTCGTCTCGTTTTGAAATCGTTTTCTGTCCAAGAATTTTGATAATTCAGAAACATTGACAGTATTTCACTTCGAAAGTCTTTTATTTGTCTTTGTGTCAAATTCTATTCTACGCCTTCTCTTGTTGCCAATTGTTTCATAATATGGCAAACGTACATACCACAGTCGACCCTAACATATAGTTGAAATTAGTTTGTTATTACATTATTGGTCAAATAACAAATTTTGCAGATTTACAAATACTCAAATTTACTTGAATCATAATGCAATATTCCTTGTGAAATTTAACAATTTAATCATAAATAGCAATTGTAACAATCAATCAAATTACCAAAAAAAAATTGGAGTTATTATTGATTCAACGTCATAATTTATCAAAATTTACCTTCTCCAATGTTGACAAGTTCTTTTCAAACATTATTCAATGATCTCAACAGTCCTTCCTCACCCCAATGTATCCTTCTTATTCATCGTTTACAAAAATGGTGTGGTCGTCACCGTCTGCAATAGAGATTTTCACTATTTCACACTGAATCCATTTTTTTAAAAAAAAAAAACCATTTTGAACATTGAACATATAAAAAAATTGAAAATGGGTTAAAGAAAAACTCATTTTGAAAATCGTGTCTTGAACGGAAGTTTTTAACATTGTTAAAGTGATCCCATCAAAATTAAACAATGAACACATCAAAAAAAAAAAAATTGAAAATGGGTTGAACGAAAAACCCATTTTGAACACCATGTCTTGAACAAAAGTTTTCAACATTGTTAAAGTGAACCCATCAAAATTGAACAGTGAACAAATCAAAAAAAAAAAATGAGAATGGGTTGAACAAAATACTCATTTTGAACATCATGTCTTGAAAGGAACAGAGAGTTTAAGAAGTTTTCACATCCCTTTATCTCCACAATGAAAGTCTTTTTTCACTGATTCGTTCTTCACCGTCCACTAGTGCCCTTTCACTAATTCACTGAGAAACTCATGCGAAGAAAAAAAAATTAATTTTGAACATCCTGTTTTGAAAAGAACGGAGGTTTTAAGAAGTTATGTCATCAATTTTTGAAGAGCCCACATTTTCGACAGTATTGAAGGAGTTATGGGTATCCTTTCCCGTTGTTTCAGCTTTGGAGGGAAAAATTTAGAAGACTATTCACCTTCTTCTGAATGGGTTATTTTAGACATTTGTTATGTATTGTATACTTTTTGACCAATATTTTTAGAAGTGGTACTTTTTGCCTTATCATTTCTAAAAAAGGTATCAGCCCTTAAAACCCTTGATTAAAAGTGCCGGACTTACCTAAGAGGAGGTTGGACCCTATACATCCTTCATCATTGCTGTGAAAAAACACATAGTTCAAACTTAATAATAATCGAATCTGGTTAATGCCGTATTTCTTAATTTTTCAAGGCCTAATGGACAGGAGGACCGGAAAGATAGCTCGTGGATTAGTGTGGTAGCGTCACCCAATTTTTTTAGTCACAGTTTATACTAGATTTGGCTAGGCAGAATTCCACCAGTTAGCCTTGAACATCATTTTTCTCACCCAAACTAGTAAATTACAAAGGGAAACGATGTATTTGGATCCTCTAAAATAAGGCCGAATTAGAAAATAATCATGTGAACAAATCGATCAAGTATGCACCTTGGGCACAATTCTTTTTGGGGCAGTTGTGCGGCTCCCTTGTTACTTTGACAACAGATAGATATCATCTAAAGAGTGAATGTTGGTATTTTCATATTGAATTACAATAATTTGGACAACACCCTGAAAAACAAGTCTAAGCACTTATGCAAGTTGTCTATACTTCATCGAAAAGCTTCAACAAAAGAAAACTGCAATGGGAATGAAAATGTTTCCTACACCAAGTTTATTGTTTTCCAAACTCGGGTGAAAATGGGAAAAAAACAATGGAAAGAAAAAGGAATGCTCTAGTGGCAAAACATGAAACTCCCAATAAGTTTTCGTTGTTATTCTCTCAGTTTCTATTGTTCACCAGGAACCATGCGATGAGAGGAAAAATATACTCCAAAAATCAATCAACAATTTTATTGATACCTAATTTATTAATCTAATTTGTTAAATTAATTCATTATAACTTTTGAATTGATTGTGATCCCCTCCAAACATTAGAACTTAGTGTTAATCTAATAAATACAATAAAGTCGCATCATTAGGTGGTTAAATTTCAATAGTTGAATCTGATATTTGGTAACTCAAAAATTTCAGATTCAATCTCTTTCCACATCCCTTAAGAACTAGCTACCCTTGTCTCTTTAAAGACATGCTCTGACCACTGGTTTTGAGGTCAAGGGGTAGTTGACACAAGCCTCTAAACACCTTGTAGCAGAAAAAAAAATGATTAGGTCAAATTTTTAGATCCGAAGCATTATTTTGAATATGAACAAGATCCAAACAGTTCCCATAGCCACAAATCATGCCAAAATTGTGTGCTCAAATGGGCTTTCCATTTTGTTTCTTTAATTAGTTGAATCTTTGTTTATAATAGTCACTCTTATCAAACTTGTGATCCTTGGAAACTAAACAGGGGAGTCTTTTCGTTTGAGGAATCATCAAAACCCAAACAACCAATACTTTTTATTTAATTAACTTAGTTTAAATCCATGTATAACCAAAAATCCACCCTATTTGAACCTGATTCAATTGCTCTTTGCTCCAACCATATGAGGTGCAAAGGGAATAGAGATAATATATATCTATATATATATATATATATATATATATATATATATATCTGTGTGTGTGTGTGTGTGCTTCTTTCATATTTAATCTCTAGTCAGTAGATAGAAGATGTGATTTATCATGCAAATGTGGTTAAATGGAAGAGAACCCCCCATGCATTTCTTGCCTTCACTTGTTAAACCTTTTAAGCTCATCTCTTTCCTCTGCTCTTCCCCATGAGGCCCTGGAGGGCATTTGTAAAGAAGATTTGAAAGTTAAATCACTCCAGTTATCTTTAATTCCGGCTTTCCAATTTTGCCTACTAATTTTTAATTTTAACATGTTTTTGGATCAGCAGATAATATGGTGAGACCTCCATGCTGCACCGGGCTGAATGTGAAGAAGGGACTTTGGAATAATGAGAAGGAGGATGCAAAGATACCTGCATATGTATCTAAGCATGGAACGCGAAATTGGACAGAGGTCTCCAAGAAAGCAGGTATGTTGGTGTTGAAATCTTGATTTCAGTTTGTAAGATGTTCAAAATTTCTCAATCATGGCTAACAGTTTCGATTTCACATGAGCTGTGATGCTTGAATGTGTTTTTGACAGGACTTAAGAGATATGGAAAGAGCTGCAGGCTCCGGTGGACTAATCACCTGAGGCCTGACCTCAAGCACGAGAGCTTTACACCCGAAGAAGAGGAGTTGATTATTAGGCTTCATGCAGCAATTGGTAGCAGGTAGGTCTTTTTTTCCAGGTCCCAATTCTACTATTCACTTAGCAAAACTGGTTGTATGTCTTTTTTCCCTTATCAAATGTCTTGAATTTGCTTTCTGTGATATTGTGTTTGTATGTATTTTGTACTACTATTGAGTCCCCTTGGGTAGGCCAAATCATCATAATTCTGCAATTTTCAGTGCTGGAGGAGATGCAATATCAGGGTTTGTTTCTTGTTCTGGTTGTTATAACATACTCAGAAATGAATGTAGAGATTTCTCCAATGCCCAATTCGAGTATTAGAGAGCCTTAAAGTTTCAATCTAATCAATTCTCTCCCAGTATCTTCAATGTTAGTTTTGAAGAGAATAAAAAAACTGCATTACTGCCAATTTCAGAGTGATGATCTGCTGTTTAAACTTCCTTTATTCAGTCATTGGTGCAAGAATGACTCTCTCTCTCTCTCTCTCTCTCTCTCTCTCTCTCTCTCTCTCTCTCTCTCTCTCATGGTTTCTGTGGTTCAGGTGGTCTATAATAGCCCAACAGCTTCCAGGGAGAACAGACAGTGATGTGAAAAACTACTGGAACACAAAGCTGAGAAAGAAGCTTATTGAAATGGGAATCGATCCGGTTACTCATAAGCCCTTCTCCCAAATCCTAGCTGATTATGGAAACATTGGTGGCCTCCCAAGAGCCAGAACTCAGATTGGGTCTCTAAATAGAGATTTAAAGAATGCACTAATGTTCAAATCAGAGCAATCTCAAATCCAACCCCAAGGCTTTCCAAAATTCAACAACCATTTGACAAGCCTAGTTACATCACCCAAAATTGAACCAACTCAAGACAGCTTATTGAGCAACGACATATATAATAATCATCAGTCACTGGACCTTCTTGCACAGCTCCAATCCATAATACTTGTGACAGAGGCCTCAAATTGCATCAACCACGAAACCGCCCAACCCCAATTTTTAAGTGAAGGCTCTTGTTCATCATCAGCATCACCATCACCATCGTCGCCTTCTTCAATTGCCAATCAAGTACGATCGCCTCTGAGCTTTAGTTGGCGCGATTTTCTTCTCGAAGATGCATTTCATGGGGACAATGCACAAGAACAAGAAGGTTTGGTGGAGATTTCAACCAATGGCTCCTCAAGCCATAAGCAATATGAGATGCAGATGAATGTTCTGCACACTGAAGAAAAGCAGAATTTAGAAGCAGCACAAGAAGTGGAACTTAATGCCCAAAACAATGGTCTTGAAGCTTCATCATCTTCCCAGAGTTCATTTGTGGAAGTTATGCTAGATCAAGAAAATGACACATTCTTGGGTTTTCCTGGCCTTTTAGAGGAACCACTCTACTACTAAGGTGATAGAATGCAGTAAAATCCTGTTATTGTAATATTTGTTGGAATAAAGGCCCTTAAACTTGGGTCTGACTACCAATTTTATGTTGGCTTGGAATTATCAATTGTTAGATTGCTTTATTGTGACGCGGGTTTAAATGGTTTTGAGTTGCATAAACAGGGGCGGCCCTTACGCTAGGGAATCGAAGCCGTCGCCTAGGGCCCTGTATTTTTTTTTTTTTTGGGGGCGGTGGGGGACCCTCAAATTATTTTTTTTAACAATGCTATTGAGACTTAATTTACTGACCTAATTCACTATGACATTTGAATTCATTATAGACCTCATCGAACATTGAAATTTGATATTGATCCAATAATTCTTATGAAACCACGTCATTTTGTCAACAAATTAGATCAGATTTTCAGGTCCAAATAGTATTACTCTTTTTTTTTAATTTAAATTTACTTAACTTTAAATTATTTTTAAAAATTTTATATTCAAGTATAATTAAGTCTAGATTTATTTTCAAGGTTCCAAATAAAAATTTTATATCAACGTTCAATTAAATCAAAGCTATTTATACTAATATGAGATTCATTATATTAATTATAATACTATTCATGTCTTGGAACATAACATATATAATAAAACTAAGTAATTATTTCTTTCGAATTTTATTTCCAACTATTTTGATAAACTTGAAAAGTATGTATGTATTTATTTATTTTTAAGAATTTCATGGTTTTTTGATAAGTTAAATTTATTTAAATTTAATCAATGGGCTTTTGATCCAATAGTACTGCTTGTCTAACCAATGGACATTTGGTTAAATGGTACTCCTTGTCTTGTAAAGACTTTGTCTTCTTGAGATCAAGGGTTCAAATTCCCTTCCTCCTTTCTCCTTCCTCCTTCCTCCTTCCTCCTTTCCAAAAAAAATAATAATAATAAGTTAAATTTATTTAAATTTAAATTGAGTTTGTTAATAACTACTTTCTGTGGTGGTAATAGTATAAACATTACTAGAGTGTCTAGTGTTGAACTTCAAATTTACTCTTTTACTACTCTGTTGACTATTAGTCTTTAAATAAATTTTATAAATCTAAATGATATGCTAAAGAATTTAAACACACAAATTTAAGTAGTAAGTTGGCATCTCAAATATCAGGAAATTTATTTTAAATAAATTTATTTTAATAAAAATAAAAATATATTATATATTATCATAATAATCATAATTAACGGAGCCTCATTCAAGAATTTCGTCTAGAATCTCCATTTGGTTCGAGCCGATTTTGACGTATGTCTAACATTTTTCAGACGCTACGAAGACAAGAGTCTGTTGCTATAGACAATTATAGTTTTTACTCTCTTCTCCCTCACACACATTGTCAGCAAATGCATAAAAATTCTTCCAAAGCTTAGAGTGATTTACTTGATTTTTGGAGAGTTTTGAGCAAACTACAATGGGGGTCACAAACACCTGAAGAACTAAACCACCCATGAAGGTTAGGCAAACGCCTGGGTGCCAAGTTATATGTTCTAAATGAGGAAAAATTAATATAACTCAACATTTTTCAAGGCAAACCAACAAGCTTATGCCACTTGTCAAAATCAAAACTTGATGGGATATCCCTAATCATTGAACAAAAAAAATCAAAAGGTAGAGCTATGCCAACAGGAAAACCACACAAGTAAACTTTGTTCCATCATCTCTCTCATGTTTAATGCTGTGAGTGTGATCCCATTTTGATGTAACAGTGAGAAATTTTTCTGAAGACCAATATCACATGGATGTTTCCGCATGTGTATTTAAAAGGGTGTGGACCAGATAAGATTGTGATAATGAAAATGAAACTTTGTCAGTCATTTATAGACGGCGATACCAAATTCAAAGTATTTAGACACGTGCCAAATACCCAAGTAAGCAAGGAAGATAGTTAGTCACCCTCGAGTGGCCATCACTGGTGTAAATGCCAATCAACTTGCAGAGGAGAACCATCAGAGCCACAGATGGAAATACCTTCTTGATCATGATGTAAGACTTTCTCGACTCTAAGGTTATCGACCATAGATTTAAAGGATATTGAGAAGTGTGGGTCATGGCGCCATAAAACGGTATTAGTCTTCTTTTTTTTTTGGTTTCCCAAGGTATCCCAGGCTTCGTCCAGGACTAATCCTCCGAGGGACGGTCGGGCGCCAAAGCGGGGACCTCTCCAAGAAGGTATGCTGCATCCACAAAGGTTCAAAACCGAGACCACTTACCAGAGCCCCTTCCACTCAGGCCAACCTTCATTGGTAGAATGGTATTTGACATACTTATGAAATGATACATTCTAGCAAAAATTGAACATGGCGGGCTATATTGCAGCGTGGAATATTATCAACCATGTCGATGGGAATCCTGGAGATATTTTGAAAAATACAGTCAATAGCATGAGACTCATAGTTTATAAGAAAAATAAAACGATATCGAATGAAAAAATGTCCAGTCAAATACTCTTCGACTAAGTAGTATCAATACTTTGGGATATGCATCTATCTCATTTTTAGTTTTCAAACTTTGGAGTAATTATATAACTACTAATACATCTAACTTATTTGTCGTTGTATGAGCTCAAAAATTAATTTTATTTTCAAAAAAGCATCAGAATTGTTTGTCACTTTTCAATAAAATATTCATTTCTTATAGGGCACCACGTGACATTGTCCGTTGGTGCTCACATTCAATGAGAACTTACTATAACACTGTCTTATGAGACACATATTATTATTTTTTTCAAAAAAAAAAATTGATAGCTTTACAATTAGTGACAGTAATTAATTAGGAATATACAATATTTTATTGTTGATATATAATGGACATGTTTGGAGCTAATTGAAAACCTCAATTTTTTTTGTTTCTAAGGAAATAAGTTTGGTCTGTTTGGATCCGAGCTTATTGAGTGACTTACCCATCAATTTTTTTTGGCAAAAATAGCTTTTATCAGTACCAAAAAAAAAAAAAAAAATGGGGCTTATACAAGAGCTTTCAAATAAAATTCGGTTTTTTCGAAAACACTCCAAACGGTTCTAAGAGTTTTTTTAACTCTGACTTTCTCATTTCACTTTTTAAACTTTTGTTTTGCACTCAAAAAAATCAACTCCAAACAGACTCAATAGAATGTAATGCTTGTTGAGCACCAAATATTTTACTCGGGCTGTAAATAGACTACACCCAATTTGAAATATTTAGACACGTGCCAAATACCCAAGTAAGCAATGAAAGGGGAGTTGGTCACCCTCAACCTCAAGTGGGCATCACTGGTGTAAATGTCAGTCAACTTGCAGAGAGGAACCACCCAACCCACACAGATGGAAATAACATTCTTAGGGATGTTGTAGAACAGACTTTCTAGTGATTGTTTATGCTTCACTAGAATTATGTTTGTGAGAGGCAAGTTAGGCACACAATGGGCAAAGGCTTATCATGCGTGCCAATAGAATGTTGAAGGGTTAGGCCTCTGCCGGAGATGCAAGCTTTTTTGGATGTGAATAACTCGACAAAGTGTCTATGCGTGTGAGTTTATTCTTTATCGATGGGTCTTTAATCCAATGATATTATTTACCTTATAAAAATTTTTCTTTCTTGAGATTAAGGGTTCAAGTCCCCACCCCCACCCCCACCCCCAACCCCAAAAATTGACTATCATAGCCGTTCTTTGATGCAAATTCCAGTTCCTACACTTTGGATGAGTTTAACGGTACCCAAGTGTACTTTTTAGTACTATATCTTCACTCATTTTTAACCTCATTAAAATTGCTAGTTATTCCTCGATATCTAGGGTTCTACTAATAATTCAAGGCAATAATAGAGGCAGGTGGAAAATACCTGTCCAATGAGAGGCTGCCACATACCTGCTGGAGCATGTGTTTCAGGCCAGCCCATTGACCATCACTTGGGCTAGCCCATCCAGCAGCTCGACCCTAAACCTTCAAGTCCAAGTCCTACTTGGCGAATGTAATGGGCTACCACAACTCTGACACCCATCAAACGACGGGCCCTTAATGTTGGGTTTCAACAATGTCCAAGTGTAGGTTAGAGATAAGTTGACGGTTGCAAAAAGTGTTTTTCTACAGTTAAGTTATAATGTTTGGGGTATTAGGAATCGATCTTAACATTCAAAAAAATTGTAACTAAAACTTTCAAAATTTGTAACTTAATCTCAAATAATAATAACATGACCTTAAAAAATTATAATATTTAAAAAATAATTCTAAAAAATTTAGATGTCAAATATCATAATTATTTCGATATACTATTAGTCAGACTGGTAAAGTGGGAGAAATAAATTAAAAAAATATAAATAATATAAGCCGTTTATATATTAATTATATATAATTCATCAACTCAAGTATACCCCATGTGTGCATACATACATATGACTTCTACACATACATATGATACTTTGTCTTTTACTGTGTAGGTAAGCAAAATTGCTATTTATCAGGCGTGTGATCCCAAAACTAGGGTACTACTATACCCCTGCATGAGGAAAGTGGGCCATACTCGCCACAGTTTGTCGTAAGTTTATGTCCTCTTATGAATCAGGGCATTTCGGTAATTTAACCAAAAGAAATCACACGTGGTTCCCCTAGACCGGCGGTTCCACTTTGTATCATACTCTCGAGAATCTCACTCTTTTGCTAGTTTCTCCAGTCATAAAATGCGCGGTAAGCGCAGTGTGCACCATCACCCCCAGCCCCATCACTTTCTTCCTCTACCTCACTGTCCCAGTCTCTTTCTCTCTCTGCATTACATTCTCTCTGTTTCTCTCTCTATATGTGTGTGTATAAATATCTATAGCTTTCTACATACTGCTCATTACTGGTACCACTTTACTGTGCTTTCTCTCTCTGCCTACCTTTTTTCAACTGTACTCTCTGTAACAACACAAGAAACACCCCGCTCAAAAAACCCTCTCTCTCTTCCAAAACCTAGAAAGCAGCTTTTTAATACTATTAGTGTCCTTCATTCAGCTCCAGTTGTCTGTGTGATAGCTTAAAATGGATCCTCCTTTAGTCAGTGAGGGTTTGTTTTCGGCGGCGAACCCTTCGTCATACAGTTTGGCGGAGATTTGGTCATTTCCGATAAACGGTAATGGTAGGGGAGGAGGAAGGTTGGGGCTGAGAATGGGTAGCTTCAGTGGATTTGGAGAAGTGGCGACGAATCGTGATGTGTCAGTTGATGAATCGACTGTGACGGAGCAGACTGGAAGTCGCGGAAATGGTGGTGGTGGTGGTGGGAAGAAGAAAAGGGAAGCGAATTCCGAGGATGAATCTTCAAAGCTGGTTTCCACTAGCAGTGGCAATGATTTGGTATTTTTATCTTTTTTGATGCTCATAATTTTGAAATTTCTACTTTTTTGTTAGGTTTCTTTTACTACTATGATAATTGATATGCTTGGGTAATTGATTTGGTGTTTAATTGTTGAATTCTTCCTGGTAGTGGCAATAGTTTGGATTTTTTTTCAATCGATTTATTTGTGGTAATTGTGGGTTTCAAAGTTGATTTGCTTAGCTTGAGGTTGTAATTGTTGAAAACTTAAGATTTTCACTGTGGGGGCAGTTCCTATGTGGTTGAGCTTCTTCTGAATTGACAATTTTAAGCTAAACTGAACTCTAATTTGTTCATTTTATTTTTTTCTTGGGTTTAATTTATGTGATGATTTTGTATTTGTAGTTTAGCAATATCTCTCTGCCAAATTTATTTTAATTTTCTTTGTTAATTTCCTGGGTTTCTTTAATAATTTAAGTATTTGAATTTCTGCTTAATGTAACCGTCCCTATTTTTTGGATGGTTTACTTGGGGCTTCTTTTTGCTAGTTACTGACATTATGATCTATTTTTCAGATACTATACTTGGGTTTTCATAGTGCTAATATAACCTTTGGTCTATGAATATTTTTCTTCGCAGTTTTCTTTTGTGAGTTCAAATGTGTTAGTTCACATTGTTAATGTTTAGAATATTCTGAGTTACGATGCCAACTCTGAATTGGTTTCCTTCTCTTTGGACAGAATGATTCGAATGGTAAACGAATGAAAGTATCCGGGTCTAGTGATGGGAATGGTAGTTCAAAAGCTGAAGTGGAAGCAAGTTCAGGGGAGGATAACAAGCCCTCTGAGCAAGTTAGTAAACCTTCTGAGCCGCCTAAAGACTACATCCATGTGAGGGCCAGAAGGGGTCAGGCGACTGATAGCCACAGTCTAGCAGAGAGAGTAATTCTCTTCAAACCTCTCAAACTTTGAATTCACTGTTGTTCCATATGACTGAATGAGGACATTGTTTTTTGATTTAAAACCCTTTGTTTATCAGGCTAGGAGAGAAAAAATAAGTGAGAGGATGAAGATTCTGCAAGATTTGGTCCCTGGATGTAATAAGGTGTGTGTTGTTTGGTTGTTGATTTTGGGATAATCCTACTTCTTAGCTCTATGCAGGTAAGACCTGTATATAATGAATTGGTTGAAAGGGAAAACATGGACCTACTTGTGTTAATAAACATATGAAAATGGCAGCTAAATTACTTTTTTTTTCCTTACTTTTCCATTGCAAATGCACTCTGTTAAAACTTGTTATCTAAGATCCAATCGTCAAAAAAATCTAACTGTGCTACTGAGTTCCATTTTTACTTCATTGTTATGACTTAATTTTCTTCACGTAAGTATCTATTTCCTCAATTTTAATTTGGTCAGGTTATTGGGAAAGCACTTGTCCTTGACGAGATAATTAATTACATCCAGTCACTCCAACATCAGGTTGAGGTAATAACCCTTATCCTGCCATTTATGGCATTAATATCCTTGAGACTGTTGCATCTAATACCATGCCTTCTGAATTTGAATGTTGTAGTTCTTGTCGATGAAGCTTGAAGCAGTCAATTCAAGACTAAACCCCACCGTGGAAGGAGTTCCTTTGAAGGATGTAAGTCTCTATTCCTAATTTAGTTTACTTGTCATTTTCTTTTCTAATTCACAACCAATTATTTACAAGTTATGGGATTAATTTTCACATGATCATAGAAATGTGTGTTTTTCTTTTACTAGTGACAACGTCTAGCCACTGTCTTATTTATCAATTTGGAAGGTTCAGCTGGTAAAATTTTATCAAGATTGTCGACCTAAATGAGACCAAGTGGTCACTTGTTACTGCACTGTCATTGCACATAATCTGATTTAACTGGGGCATTATTTTTAAACTCTGGAGCATTAGAACTCTAGATCGAAAGAATTGATTCCTTGTGTTAATATGTAATGGCCTTTTGGGTTATTCTAATGGACAGCTTCACATCAAAGTAATCTAGATGTGGCTGATTGAAAGTTTGTTAATTTTAAAAACTTATGTTGGGATACCATCAAATTTCAAATTAGTTGATGATCTTTTGGTTTCTGAAGAAGATCTCTACAGTTGCAAAATTTCCTTGTTTAATTTGACCACTTCTCTTATTTTCTAATGTACAATATTCCCCATTATCTGATGGTGACATTTACAATTAGGGAAGAGTAGTGGACCACATTACTATATCGTGCGATCTTGCTTGCTTTTTTGTAGATTTTGGCCACCTATATGTTGCACTTCCTTCTATCCTTTGTTTTCACCTACTCTGTGTATGGCTTTTTCCTTTTGTTGTAAGGTGTGGTCCTGAGGTGGTTTTGAGGGTGGTTCCTAGAAGAAGCAGTGGCTGTAAACAATTTCATGGTTTTGTTGAGTGGTTGATGGATGGTTACTTATATTTATTGTTTATTTTTCATTTTCCTTTTCCTTTTTACTTCTTTTTTATCATTTAGTTTATATAATTTTTGCATAGATTAAGATATGGCAATACGGGTCAGTTGTCAGTTTTTATGTGAATTCATTCTCCACGCAACTCAGATTGGCCTTAGGTTGCTGCTGTTTGACTAGATGCAAGTCATGCGACCCTATATGAAGTTAGTTTTTTGTTAGTAAAACATAAGTGATTAGCTCCTTTCTCACCCAGAATGCATTTTTGGACAGGAATCCAGAAAGTTGGACAAGGAAAAGTGAAGAGAACACTGTCCTTTTAGGTCTCCAGATTTTTCTAGAACTTCCAATCTGAAATATGGTCCATAGTGCAATCATGTGCCATTGTCTGGCATGACCATGTCCTCGATGCTACATTGTAGTTCTCATTCATGCACTTAAATCCAAGTCTGACGGTGTTGTGCTATTTAGTCATCTTAAAATATTTTTTCATGGACATATATGCATTTTAAAACCATGACATATACATTTTAAAAGATTTTACGCGATGTATTAGAGTGTTTATGATTTCTCCAGTTTTGACAACAAAAGATGAGTGTACATCACTATCAGCCAACATTTCCATATTTTTGCTATGCTGTTATGTTTTTTTTTTTAAGTGTATATTTTATACTATTTTTCTCTTGAAAAACCTTGTATGCGGACTGTAGTGTTGCATTTCATAGGTAATGCAATCTTATTTTCAAGGAAATCAGAGTTTTTATGATGCTATATATGGAGGTGCAGAATACAGTTGTGATGGACCTTCCTTGTGTAAGTAATTCCTGTGACTTGGAAATCTGATTTTTCAGCTTGTGCCACCAACATTCGATGTTGCTGGAATGATATTTGGATCACAACCATCAAGGGAATATGCTCATGTATCACAACCCGACTGGCTTCATATGCAGGTTGGTGGTAGCTTTGAAAGCGAAACATGAAACTGCTGACCTGACCAATTACTAGTTAAGGAACCAATCCGCATATTAGTCTCAAACAACATGATACTACAACCCTGACTAATGGACAGTTAGGGAATCAAGCAGTATATTAGTCTTTCAGTTCATCGGTCAAAGGGACGATGTATTTGATTCGTACATCAGATGCTGATCTGCGTTCCCTACACGTTACCCCATTTACACCATCCTTTAGTTTGTAATCAGATCACAATGTCTCCTGTAGAAAATTGCATTTATTATAGTATGCATCATCTAACTAAATTCACTGTATTTCATTTTATTGGTATCTAGTCAGTGATCCTTCCGGGTGAATGTAGTACTTACAACTTCATACGATTAATGGATTGTCTATTTCAAAATTTCTGGCATCCTTCTTGTGATTTCAGTTTCGTGCAAATTTTTATGCAAATTCAACTTATGGAATGGTGTAATTACAACACAAACAATGTCACTACCCAAAGAAAAAAATAAATAAATAAAAACAAAGAAAGAACGAACGGATAGCAGAAATGATCTTATTCTTGGAATCATAACATTTATCAGATACATAGCAAATGAAGTGAATGCATTGATATGGAAGTTAAGTTATCCCTCAAAAAAACACCATCTCTGCATTTTTTTTACTCAAGTAATCGCTTTCTCATCTTTTTCCTTGAACAAGAGAGGTGAAATACGACTTATGGCGAGCAAAAGCTTGTTATTTTCAGTTGGATTGTACACTTACATTCCAGGATTTAGAGCTTCAAAGTTAGAAGTATGTGGCTAGAGTATCTATGCTTTCTTGTATACGTTGTTAATGGTTGTGACAGAAGACATGAAAAGCAACCAGCCCATCGAAATAGTAATAGAAAATCTGTGACTGTTAATCATACAGAGAGAACATGCTAACTGGATGACTGAAAACAATCTTTGGTGTGGTAAGATCCATTGGTTGCCTTGACGCTCTGTCAGCTAAACAAGTTTGAACAATTTTTGAAGTCTTATCACTTCCATTCAAATAAAATACAAACGATCAGAATCAGTAATCACATTGAACTGTGTCTCATGCCAAAGTTTGCGAACCTAGTTTCTCGACCACTCAACAGTAGAAGTTTAGCCTCTTCCTTTTGTAGCACTATATGAAAAACCAGAAAGTCCTCTTAACAGCTTGTCAGTTAAGCAGATTGCAATAGATGGGGGAACCGAATGTTGAAAAAGGCTTGCTCTATGGTATAATTGCTTCATGGATTGAATGAAAATCATGTGTATAACAGTAGAATGAAGAGAATTTCTCAGTTACACTCTCTGGAGCAGCTTAGTTTGTCGGGATCACACCAGAGGGCAAATACAAGAGCGAGTTCCTCAGCAACACCTCTCTAAGGCAGCTGCGCTAATGGGGAGCACACCAGAGGGGGTTACAAGAGCGTCCACAGGAACATCAGTTGGAGTGACTGGTATAGCTCCCTCATCCATTATCTGTGGAGAATATGATAGCGCAACTACAAACCAGAGGCAAATGTGTTATTACAACACAGAAAAACCTGATATAATTTAAATATGAACTTCATAAAAGGGAAGCAACAGCATTGCACATACTTAGAAGAGGTTGTTTCCACTTCCTCTCCTCTGCAAGCTGTTGGTATCTTGCCAAGAATGTATCATAATAACTTTGTTGAGTTATCCCATGCACGGCAACACAGAATGGAAACCAAGGAAATGTTAAGAAGTATATCTAGAAAGTTTAAAAGAAAACAATACACATGCACATTTTTTAGCACACACACATGCACAGAGGGGGAGAGAGATATTATGCATGTTACATATGTACATATGATTCTACCAATGTATCTGCGTGATGTACGGGATTTACATTCCCCACCCATCTTAGCATCTCCACCTCACCCAGCCCCTAACCCATCTGACTTGTTAAGTCATTTTACTGGAAGAATGGAAAAGGAGATGATAAGTTAAAGAATCAAATGCAGTGAGAAGTTGAAGGAGCAGGAACTTGGACCAGTTATATTGGAATGTGGAAAAAATTGATTAAATGAAAGTCAACAAATAGGAGAATTAGCATTTGTAGTGGAAAAACTTCCCAAGCCCTTCCCACATAATTTAACTCTCTTATATAGTAGATATATATATCTGTGTGTGTGTGTGTGTGTGTGTGTGTGTGTGTGTATATATGCAAATGTATAGAGAGAGAGAGAGAGAAATGGAGGCAGGGCAAGAGGGAAAGAACTTTCAATCTTCATAACAGCCCGAACAATTTGATGAATGAGTTCATTCTGGGAAAGCAAGTTTCCACACAGATTTCATTTTCTTTCTTTCTTACTTTAGGACATCGAAAAGGATGACTATTCTGTCTTTTTAACTAAACTAGAAATTACAATCTCTAGGCAACTTTGTTAGGCATGTACAATACTGAGACTGAATTTAACTTTCACAAGGTCAAAATGTGTAAACCTACCCTCCACCACGGCCCAATCGCCTTCCGCATTTGTCAAATGCGAGTCCTGAGAATAAAAGCAAGACAAACAAGATCTGAACAAACTATCATTTCAAGCTCTGGGCCATGCTTAGTGTAATAAAAAAAACATGATCGGATTACTCACCAGGCAATAGGAACAAGTCAACTGGTTCATTTGCTAGCATAACTGCAAGAAGAGACCTTTTAGATTTTAAACAATATTAAATCTACAACAATCTTTCAGCAGCTGAGCTAGAATAGTAGGGTGAAGGTTAAAATTCCAAACAAAGACAGATATCAACTATCAAAGCTAGGATTTCGAGTAGAGATTTTAAAAATCATTGGAAGTGTGTTTCTATAGTGTCTAACATATGTTTGTTTGTTGACAATCTCTATCTCTTCTGCTTGGCAAATGGCAATGGCTCCTTAACAAGTTCCTAAAATTATTACTTCAAATGTGTCCACAATGAAAAATATCACTATGTCTTGGGCCTCAGCCCTCAGGGCAGGAAGAGGACTGGTTTAAGACTTTCACCATAAGGATCCGAGCAGTCAGTTTACAAATTTTCAAAAAACAACTAAGAGGCACTAGTTGTGAATTGATGATACAAGGTGATGAAGGGCAAAGTAGTTCATTATTGTTTTTTCTCCTCTTTAGGCAGACGAAAACAATCACTGTTTTAATCCTTTTGTAGTTCTTCACCAGCTTCTCGATTTACTTTCTTCCAATTAATACAGCACGACTATGAGCGACATGCTAATGCCAAGCCCGTCTGTATTCAGCACACGTAGTGGTCAAGTGTATAAAGGACATGTTACAAAAGAAAGTATACATACTCTATCTAGAGTCCTTGCTAAACATATTCAATAACATTGCTCCACTATAGTCTGTGAGCAAGGAAAACTCCAACAAACTCGGGTAGAAACAATCTAAAAAGTATGAAAAGCTGATTGTGAAGGTGGGACAATAGCCTGAACCTTGAGTACCAACTACCAACACACTAACAACATGTTCCCCATCGTATGGTGCTGAATGACTTGTAGGGCACCTAAAAAGAAATGGAATGTAATTGGAAACAACAGGAATACCAGCCAGGGAAAAAAAACCCAAAAATTAAAATTAATAGCAATGACAACAACAATATGATGATAACATTTATAATGATAATGACCATCTCCCCTTAACCTAATCCCCAAAGACTTGGGAATTACCTCATGATATGTAGGACAAGTAAATAACATGTGTCTGAGAGGATCAGACAAGTCCTCTAAGACACCCAGAATCCTCCTTGTCAGCAAAACAATGGTAATGATAATGTTTCTTCTAATTATAATCATGTGTGTAGGATTGCTGTGAGAATTCGCTACAGGATGAAACGCAACCATGCAATATACTTCTATTAAATTCACAAAAATCCACGACCCTGCTCTCTTATCTTTGATTTAACACAAGTCTAAATGTCGAATAACATAATTGATGGAGATCAGGATGCCATATGGCATGGAACAAAGTACTCGGAGATTATACATGCACAAAACCACCTTACCATCTTCACGTTCATTTCCATTAGCATCAATGGGAGCTGGTTCTAATATGTTCATTGAATTTGCAATTAAATCGTCCATACTTGAGATATTGAGCATTCGCATATGGCAATTTTTGTCCTCCACCCGTGGCACATAAAGCTTTTTTCCCATCTGTGAGTAACCATCTTCAGTTGAAAACTATCCATTAGAACCTCGGTGTGAGAAGAAATATGCACTAAAAGTATTTAAACGAACAAGTGGGTTCTATGACACCTATTGGCAGGACAAGTTTTTGGAATCTCAACTGGTGAAGAGGTGGCAGATAGGTGAAGAACAATATATATAGAAATAACATGGGATCCACAATTACCAAACATCAGCCTAATTGACCTTCTTAAGATATCTCTTCAAGCACAAATATTATGCCCTCATTCCAGCCACCATGTATATTGGAGTTTTAGGATTACATGATCACCTTAATAATTGTTGACTAGAACAGGTTTAGTTTGAAGGCAGCCACATGGCAGTAACTAACAAAAAGAATAGGTTTTTAACTAATCCAACCCTTTAAGCATCCCCATTAACAAGACAAAACTGGGTAACTAAACTTGCTAACAACCTTTATTTTCCCTAGACAATGGCAATTTGACTTTTATAATGATCAATACATTCCTCACAAACAAAAGAAAATGCTCAATTTGGTATCATATAGCATGTGAAAACTTAAGTAGTCAATGCTTAGAAATCAAGCATACCTTTGGCTGAATTCTGCAGAATTTCTGACAGCACTTTTGATGTATCAACTTCTCGTAAAGCACTGCAGCTTATATAAGCGCATAATCTCTTACGTGACTTAAACCATGGAGCTTCCAACACGATATTTTGTATTGCGTTGTCTGAAAAGGGTAAAAGGGAAGATAATTAGGACTCTCCCAATCTTTAGAATCTAAATCAACTGTAAGGGTTAGTCACAATTTGTACCTTGAAAGATTTCCGTTCTCAAATTGCACCTTTAATATCCCAAAAAAGGTTAAATGTGGCTCAAACTCGGAGTGAGATCCCTCCATTACATTTTCTCTTCAATTTCTTTCTTAGGGGATCCCCCACCATATATTTAAGCGCGACACATTGTACATAAGTGGATCTCCTCACTCATTAATTTTTTTAGTTCAATAGTTAGAGGTGTCCACGCCTTGACTAATCCCTCTCTGATCCAAGTATTGATAAGGATAAATCTAACATCTTGGCCCAAGAGATTGTCAAGATTTGAACTCAGGTGGTATGGGTTTACAACTAGTCGCTCCTCACTCATTAATGGCGACGATCCACAAAGACAAGAATTAAATGGAAAATGAATCAGAGGGAATTTGGATCCTTCAAACTGAAACTGCCGTTCACTTTTCCATTATAACAAGGGGCGCAAGCACAATATCAGTTTCCAAACAAAAAGTGAACAACAGTTTAGATCTGATCCACATTGAGAATTCAAAAGGGCGCAAATTGACATTAACCCCAAGTATAAGCACACACACACAAACATACACTGATATATCTATACATACACTGATATATCTATATAGATGCACATATAAGTGTACTCGTGTATGTGTAAATTAATACCTTCTAGGGATCTAATGGTGGGGTCCATGGCCTTGAGCTCTTTCTTCACTCTGGACCGGAGGGTTCGTTTCATCCTAAATATGGTGTCGAGGTGGGTGGGAGCAGAGCTGTGGTGGTCTTCGGTGTTCATCATGGTGGTCATGGCGGAGACTGGTGGTGGGCGCAGGATAACGGAGCGGGTGGAGAAGAGTCGAGCTTTAGGCGATGCTGATGCTATTGGGCAGGGATGGCGCATTAGCATTGCAACCAACTCCACTGCCCTTAAGGTGTGAGCCCATGTGGTCATTTCAACCATCGCTTTGCAGTGTGTTTTGGATGAGTGGAGGGTTTTTTTATTCTAAATTGGGATTTTCAAATTCTATGTTTAAGAGGAATGGGCAGTGTTTTTTTTTAAACACCGAACCATTCTAAACCTTACACTTAAAACACCCACACAATCCTAAGTTATTCGACGTGTAATAGTCCTAATCCCCAACGGCATATTTTTTAACCATTTTTTAAAGGAAGATCGGGCCCATACACAGACGCGTGGAGCAAACACATGCACACAAATTTTTGATTTTTTTGAATGCAAAACTATTCTGAAACTTATACTTAAAAAATATAAACGACAGAGGGTCTTATACACACACACAAATGAGAAGTGTTTAACGGTCACCATTTCTATTGTTAGATTTTACGGAGTTAAATTTAAATTTCATTACTCTCTCCCCTACTTATAATAGTGTGTTAACAAATTTTGAAACGGTTGAAACGATTAAAATATTTTTGTTATCAATGACATCGAAATAATTAATGGTTAAATCAAAATTATAAATATTTATAAGGTATTTTCACCGTTGATTCATAGGGCTAGATGTAACTACTTTAAGTTTCTACCAAGCTAGGCTAGCTAAGAATATCTTTGATGATATCTTTCTTCTTAAGGGTAATTTTAGATCAAGATAGAACATACAATAAGAAAGAAAATCTAGCAATTTGGTAGTTCCTGTAAGCCAAATAGCTATAGAAGAGCTTGAGAGAGAGATCAAAGAGTAGTCCTCTTATCACATCCTTAACAGGGGATTCTTTTCTCTCTATGCCCACTTGATCTACACGCATCCCTTCTTTCCTTCTTCCTAGGAGTTAAAGGTCTTATTCCCTTAACCAGTCTAAAGACGTTAAGTACTTTCTTGAAGTAATGTTTTTTTTAATGTTTCAAAAAAAATCGGGTGGTTTCAAGATATTTTATTATATCTCGACCCATGTTTCAAAATATTTTTAAAATAAATTCTTCATTTGTTTATCCGTTTCAATTATGTTTTTTTGAAACATTTTTAAAATGTTTCCGTTTTCTAAGTGAGTAAAAAAATTAACTGAAACATAATTTGTATACTTCCCATTGGAGCTCATAATTCTAGACACATCTTGATCTTGACACAAAATTGACATGTTTGAGTTCAATTTTAATGGGTTTTAAGTAATAAATGGGTGGACATCCCTGCTTCCTAAATGAGTTGACAAATAACTTGTTAAAGGTAATGTAAAATTGGCTAAGTACAACGTACACAAGATATAAATTTGATATAATTAACTTGAACATTCACGATTAAAAAGGGTTGAATATCATAAATTGAACATAGAAGAATTGGGTAGAGTGATATTATTGAATGAACCACAACTCCTTAAGAGAGCGAAACTCTATCTTATAGCTTCAAATAAGCTTCTAGGTAATTTGGACTTAATTTGGAGTCCTTATGTTTTATGACCTTTAGATTAATGTTGGACTTCATTCAATACTGTAACTCACTACTGATTTAATAGTCACAATGCATTAGATCCTCAAATTATATCCCGATAACATTGTTTGAGAAATAAGGCTTGCCAGGGAAAAAATAAAGTGAAGCATTAGACAACTTCAATGAAATTGGTACAAGTAAAAAAGTTTATCCATAGATTGGAAAGAAAGAAAACAGCACTAAAACTATTACACAGAAGGGTTCATAGTCTTTTTTGTACAAGGTTTGCTTATCAGCTTTGAAGTTGTGTGCCTCATTTTCTCTCTCCTATGATATCTCCAACCACTGATCCAACACACCTTAAAAAGAAAGAAAAATGGATGTCAGTCAGGCTACCAGAACAGAACATTGAATCTTCAAAATTTTCAAAGAATAAGTGCAACTAGATACAAGAAATATAACCTTCCAATGTTCTATCATCTTAGTCCTAGTCTGAGTTGACCTAGTTTTTTCCTGCGTTTTCGTTGTAAGCGAAAAGCTTGCTGGAGACATCAACAGCTGTGCAATCTTAGATGCCATTGTAGCCTGCACAGAAGTTCCGTTAATTGTGGTTTTATTTTGCCATTTCGATATAATGATTGCACATACGCCACTGAAAGTTTGATGCTTCTCCTCAAGATCCAAATTGATTATTACAACCCTTAAACAATGATTATGAAGGCAGTCTAGTGCAATTGAGTTTATACAGTAACTTCACAAGCCATATTTACAAATTTATTTTCCTATTACAAGTTGTATGAAGAAGAAATCTACACTCAAACCAAGTGGTTTTCGAAAATCTCAAAATAGTTCTCATATTATGGTGATAGAAAGGAACATGCTTTGATGCATAAGTGCCTACAATATTCTCCCAACATAACTCATTTGCTCGTATCAGTTTGATCGAAGCTAATCCTTACAAAGGATTGATCGAAAAAAACAGCTTCCCTTGTTAGTTTACGAAAAAAAAAACTTCCATAGACAAATATCAGATTTATGCCTTGGATAAACTTCATTTGAAACCACATAAAGTTTCAAAATATGTATCGAAATCGAAACTGCATTCACTTTGCCTTCCTGGGCATTCAAATGCAAATTAGAATCGAGCCATTGCAAAACAAAATTACTCACTAACAAGTAACAACACGTACGTAAGTATAGGGAAATATTTTAAGCAATGCTGCCTAATGAAGATCCTAAATGTTTTTCTGTTATGCAAACAACAAACACAAAAACTTGAGCTAAAATACATGAAATAAAAGAACTGTAGTTCTGGAATAATATGAAGGCATTCGACTGATTTTTCTAGAGTGTTTCAAAGCACATCAGAATTGATTCATAACAAAATATTATTGGTCATCATCAAGTAAAAGTCATGGTAAATGATTTGAACTTTTGCTCCATGCCTGTGACAAAAGTAAAAGATTGAAACAATTTAAGATATCTTTAACCACATAGACACTAATCTTCGAAAAAGGCATAAATAGCTCAGAATTCTCTTAGTTAAGCTTCCTAGACACAATACAAAAAGTGTTGCTGGCCTGATATGTGATACTGACATGCCAAATATCAAAGAGAAAGTTCATAAGAGAGTATTACCACAAGGGGATAAAATAAGAGATAAGAGCTCCATTAAAACTTCAAAGCTGGAACTTAATACTCCTTCATGTATATACAGAAATATGTATATACATCCTAATACAAAAAAAAAGGAGAAAAAGAAAGAAAGAAATACGAAAGGAACTGCACACACGAAATTAATCATATTAGTAACTAATGCTGGTTTACTTGGTAGATTATAAGTTATAACAGTACATGAAGTGAGGTTTAATCACTATAAACATACAGTAGAAAGGAATTCGATTGTGTGCAATGAGTGATAAAAGAAAAAAAAAAGTGACGCTACTAAGGTCCATTCATCAATGCATGGTTTTTGTGACAATGGGAAACACACACATATCACATATGACATATCAGCATTCACTAGAATAACAAGTCAATCGGTGAGCATTAAAGACCACGGATTGAGTGGTAAAACATGCATTTTCTGAAGTTATTTGTACATCAATAGAATTTGATTTCTACATAATCTGTCTCCACCAGCTTATGAGGGTTATGGACAATCAACAACAGTACTCAATCAACCTTTCGATCGAGAGAGAAATTAAGATCTGACACTGGACATTACAGGTATTGGGGTCTTACATGCCAAAGCAGGGCATAAAATTTTGGTACCCCTTTATGTAATCTTTAGTAATTCCACCTTATTACATAAGACTACATGATGTGAAAATTCAACCCTAACTATAAAATCTATCATCTTCCTTCTAAGATAGATTTCAACAATTGTTTGACAGAGAACATGAAGATGGAAACTTGGAGAAAAAAAAAAAAAGGCAGTTCAAAAGGGAGTTACCATCAAAATTGATAGGGTAAAAAATCATGAATCTGTATTGTCCATTTTGGCTGAGTGCCGAAGCTTCCGAAGATGTTGAGCTATCTCTGTCAAGATTTTAGTCCCTTCACCACCCTTCTGGAGTGTCATGGCAGCATGCTTTAAAAATCCACTCTCTGCTTCAATAGCCCTCAACCTCTCCCTAATTAGAGACAATTCTCTTCTAAGGGTGGCTTTATTTTCATGTCCTGATAGATCAATAAACCCATTTAGTCCTTAGAATAAGTTCTGTAGAGTTTGAATATTTCAAGAAAATCCAACCCCCCCCCCCTACCCTCCCTGCTCAGGGGAATAAACAGAAATATGAAATTTAAAAAACGATTACCTGTGCCTTCATCTTCATTATTAATCATGTCAGAGTTGGATTCTAAAGAACGAGTCCCTTCATCTGAAGATGAACTAATTTTCTTCTCCAGATTTGTCAACAGATCCAGAAGATAAGATCTTTCACCCTTAAAGTCTAATGATGATTCTTCAAGGCTCCCTCCTCCATTTTCTCCCAAATGTTCAGAATTATGCTCAATTTCTCTCTTATGATCCACTGCACTGGGGCTTCCACAGTCTGAGTTTTCACTATATGAAGAGAAAGAATGAGATTTCAACTCTTGGTAGTCGTTATCAGCATCAGCTTCACAATCCTCACTACCTACTTTATTTATGTAACCGTATTTTTCTCTATAAGTCTCTAGTTCAGCCTCTAAAACCTTGATCTCTTCCTCTCTCTTGGCAAGCAAGTCCTTCAGAACTTGCAGTGCTTCTTCATCATACTCTGCCTGCTCTTCCATCATTCTCTGGTACTGTAAGGCCTCCATTTGAACAGCTGCCTTCTCAGCTTGCAACCGAGTGATCATGGCCATTGCATTGTTTGCTGCAACTGCTGAAGCGCTTCTTTCTTCGTCCAATTCCATGTACAATGCTATGAGGGACTTGCGATCCAAACGAACTTGCCTCTTCAAATGATTCAATATGGAGTCACCATCTGCTTCATTTGTTGCATTTGTATCATTAGAGTCCGAAACAAGGTCCGACTTTGCAAGTAGCAGCTTCCTAGGAAGTCTGCTGGACCACCTAGGACTGGCTTGAGCTGAATCTGTCAGTGGGATTCCAAAAAACCTGTTTCCTCTAGTAAAAGTAGGGGTCTTGCAAGCATCCTCGCTTATATCCCCGAAATCTGGTAGCAATGGCGCACTTGCAGCTTTGTTATCTTCTTTACATTCTAAACAAGATCAAATAAAACATCATTGGCGTAGTGATGTACTTGGGATTCAAATTACTCAGAATCACATTAACCTCTCCTCCCGTGGTGACAAGAGGTATAAGGCAAAACCATGCTTAAAGAAAATAAATACAAGAGAAGAATTTCAAAAGACAATAAATTACGCTGCCATTGCGCTGGCAGTATTTATGGCATTTATAACTGAATCATGAGCAACCTGAAAAGAAGGGTTCTTTTTAGTTTCACATGTTTTTGTAGTTCTATCTCTATTCATCATCTCCAATCTTAAATTTTGACAAATTTACTAAATATATTTATTAATTAATTGGCTGAATTGACTTATATGTTGATGTAGAATGGCAACACATGAGAGTACATCAATTTTGAACTGTAATGGAAATAAGAACATGGAACTAGAATCAATGCATAATATTTCAATGATATTAAACTTTCTGCTGTCTAAGATGATTGTTACACGAACATAAAAGAGAAGTGGAGGAAAAAATAGCAGAATAGACTAACATAAGGAGAAAAAGGTAAAGGAAACTGAAAATAAACTCACTTTGGTTATCTCCACTTGGGCCATCGTCATCCTCTGGAAGATCTGATTCATTGTCGGACATAAACCTGAGCTGTGTGTACCGAATGTGAGACAATTCCAAAATGCGCGATTCCTCATTTTTCCATGCCAACACTGGTGCTCTAGGAGATGGAGCTGGGGCTTGTGAATGAAGGCTCCCACTCATTGACAAACTCCGAGCATAACTCTTTGAAGAAGAACTCCTAGTGTAACTCTTCACAGAGGGTCTTATATTCAGAGGCTCTCCACAACAGGAACACCGCGAAACACTGCTTGTATCAGCTTGCACCACTTCATCATTTTTCCCCGATTTCACACCACTTTTTTTATCACCCTCAACAAAGCAATCATCAATATCCTTGTGCAAAATACCAACCAGAGGCGTGTATGTATCACAACCACATTCTTTCTCAGTTGAAAATGAAAGAAGACATCCTTCACACATGTGCTTAATATTAGAGAGCTTCCTATGCATATGACAATATGCGAGGGACGAAATGTCTTTTTTGTGATCTTCACAAATCGAATCATTGTAGTAAAAATCAGAGTTTCTGTGAACCAGAACATGATCAATCCTTGTGCATAGCAAGCATGGTATTCTCAATTCGAAGAACTTGGCGAACTCATTGGCGAAAAATGCGAGAAACCCATCAATGAAGAGTAAAATTATCATCACCCATTCAAGGATTGCATATATCATGAAATGTGCAAACCTTCCCAATTGTTGTTCCACAAAGCTCTCGAATGATCGCGACGCCATTATATATTTCTGCCAATACAGCCCGAATCCAAAGCCTATACAGAATTAGAATTTCCTTCTTATATTTGTGAGAAAATCAGTGGGTATTGACTGGAAGAGATTGAGATGGAAGAATCAAAACACAGGGAATGTGATGAGACAGATCATGACCCTAGAGGAAAGAAGAAAACCCCAGATCATGATCTCTCTCTCTCTTTCTCTCTCTCTCTCTGAGGAAGAAGAGATATGAGATTGTCCAATGGAGAAGTTTTCAAAATTTGAGTGGTGATGTTGATATGGCTATATGTAGTAAGGTTTATACAGTGGTTCAAAATAGAGGGTGTCATGCGGCCCATTACCTGAATTAACGGTATATCGCCCATTTCGCAACCAACCCAATCAAGACAAAACGATGTCGTTTACAAGGTAAAGGAACCAGATATTATCCACTCTCTATTTTTTTTCCCATCGTAACTACAGAAGTGACCAGCCTTCTATACTTGGGCTCGGACGGTTGAATCACTTTTGAACTTTGCCTCACAACTGCAATTTTTAGGCCTTTGAGCTGCAAGTACATCACTCCATGGAGTAGAAACAAAATACATGTAGCCGACTTCAAATAATTGAGATTAAGTATTTATTGGATTGAATTGAGTTGAGTTGCAAGCATTTTATCGAAATTTATCTAAATTTTTTCATTTAGAATCAAATGGATCGGATATAGTTTATCTAGAATATGTCCAACCTCATATAATCCTTTGTTGTGTGAATCAAATCGTGTTCAAGAAAATTCAAATTTTCGCCCAACATCCTTTTAAGTTATCATCGAGATGCTATCTTAACACTAGCAAATTACGACTCCGAAACAACATCATCAACCTTGCTTGTCAGTCTGCCGAAGAGAAACATGTTGGTCAGGAAGATGGTGATGGAGGAAAATGAACACAGAGTGTGACGAGCTTATGATACACATAAATTGATGCAATGTTAATATTAAACACAAGATGAAATGATATAAGAGTGCACAAGAGAATTCATGCATTAGATTGAGGTAGTTGATCCACAGTGAATGTTTTTCAATTTATCCCCGCAACTGGTCAGAAAATGGTCAAAGGTGTATCCCACTTATTTCCTCCGATGCCTTTGTCAATAGGGGGATGATAAGACTTTTATTGTGCCGGATTGCTTACGAATGCGTACATGAGATCCAACTCATTGAGATATTTATACCTTTTAATATGATGATATAGTTGTATATGCATCCTATGAAACCGGCAGGGGGACCTTCATAAATGCAATCATGAGAGAGCTATGCCCCCCTTGAGCCTTGCAATTAATAGGTTTGAAGGATGTCAGCGTTAACTAAGGGTTTGATCTGATTAACCAACTCGAGATGCCTTGCACTCATTGCATATCTCCTAAATATTTAATAATTTTTGTAAGTTATTTATTGAGTTGTGCCTAGTACTCATCGTGTTACCCTTAAATACACCCTCTCCCGAGAGGACCAGCGTCAATCAAGGTCATGACTTTATGTGAATCTCTTAAGATTGTGGTGCAGTATGATCTAATCGGCCAATGGAGGTAATTATTTCTCTAACACGTCACGATATGGTGGACCCACACCCCTACATAGTGTTAAGTAAAAATTGAGGGTGAGTTCTCCTAAATGGACTCATAACGATTTGAATCTTGTAAGGAAACTTATTTTAATGTAAGTCCATGTTTAAATTTATATAGAAGTACTTAAGTCCACTTATTTTTTAAATTTTAAAATTACCCATAACGGTGTTAGTTTTGTCTAGTTATGAAAAGTCACATAGGTCAGATCATTAAAATATATATGAAAATCCTTAATTGAGTTATATATAGAAACCGTTTATTAAATATTGTGATAATTAACAAAAGTTTTATATGAATGTTATATATTCTAATAGTTATATACGGGAAGCTTAATGTACGAATAAATGATTGGTCTATTAAGTCAAAATCAGATCACAAATTTTTTTTAACAACATTAATGCATAATATAGAGAGGCTGAACAATGCCAACAGAGCTCAATAACACGAATGTTAATATATAATAACATTCATGTTACTATATGATTAAAGTTACAATTAGGATCGTGTTACTAGTATAATCGTGTTACTATACTGACACTAATGTTACTATAGTGAATTTTAACATACAATTGCAAATCTTGAAATGTATATTATGTAACATACACTTTAATATTCACAGTAACATTAAAACTTTGTGTTCAATAACACATCTAATTTTACAAAAAAAAAAAGACAATAGTTTTTTTACAGTGACATTAACTTTCGACTGATTTTAGTAAAAATCAATTTACAAATTGAAAATTTACAGAATGACGAGTAATAACACATAATAGACAGTTGAATTACAACACTCAACTCAAATTGGGAACATCAATATATCGAAATTCTGAACTCCATTTTTCGGTTCACGTACAGTAACATGAACTTTTTCCACAATAATACAACCAAATAATATTCGATTGTCTTACGTAACAAAAATATTCAAAAAAATCGAAATTTATAACACGTTAATTTGATACTAATGTATGAGCTCTCTTGAATATTGGTTACAAGGTTAATACCCACTTTGACAGAATTAAATCCCTAATCGATATTACTTTTTTATCATGTTACTATTTTTTTTGTGAGCATGTTATTATTTTTTAGTGACTATGTTACTGTTTTTGTTGAATATATTACTATTGTTATTTTTTAAATATTAATATTCAATATTAATATTTTGTCGATGGATGGAGTCCACAGTAAACTGGAATAATAAATTTAAATTGTATTTTATGGAATGTAATTAATTTGAAATTTGAATATGAATGATTTTTGGTAAATATCGATTTTTTATTTTTCGGATAAGAAAATATTGTGGTGTTGAAGATTGTAACCAGATTTGAAGACGATTATGAATAAGATGTATATGACTAGTTATTGTGTCTATAAACGTCGTTTATAACATATCTACAAGGAAGAGTTACAATAGTAAAATTAACAAAAAACGGACTTAAAACCAAATAAGTTTATTTGACGGATTTATCTCCAAATAAGTTCATATAGGGAGACCGACCTCTAAATTTCTCTAGTGTTAACTGCTCGGCCCTGTGGACTCCCTCTTACCCTTTGCATGATGGGGATTATCTTCCTGGATCTTAACCTCGGCCCAATCTCAGTGCTTCACTGTTTAGGTTCACGTATTAAACTGTGATACGAATGTCTTTACGTGTGTTATCAAAAAAAATAATAGGTTAACTTACTATAATATTTTTAAATGTTAAAATATAACACATGAGAATTAAACTTAACAATTATTGAGAGAGAGAGAGAGAGAGAGAGAGAGAGAGAGAGTCGATGAGATCAACATACATATAAACCAGCTTAGATGACAAATAGTTTTGTCTCTTAAGCTTTCAGGTCATGAATGACAGAAATATGAAGGGGTGTCCACAGGTAGGCATCATTATTGAGATTTGTCCATTAATTTACATTCAAGATTCAAATGAACTAAGTACATTATTCAATGATAAAAAAAAAAATTAAATAAAAGATTTTCAATTATGTTAATATTTTATAATAGTATATAAATAAATAGAGAATATACAAAATGACTAAAAACACTGGACTTCTAGACTCATTTTTACCGTTTTATAACATTGGAAGTGAAACGTTAGGGTAGGAGGGATAACAATGGAGTGAGATTCTTTTGATATATAATATATATATATTTTTTTTGACAAATCACCTACAATGCATTCAATTGGATCCCTCACCTGAGTAGATGATAAACATAAGAAAAAAATTCATGAGAAGATGTATCGGAGAAATAATTGCTATCCAGGAATGAGAAAATGACAAAAAAATCCCTGTGATTGTTGAAGCTGACATAGGGCTGTACAGCACAGGGCCCACAACTGGTCTTTTCCCCTTTGGAATGAACTTTAAAAAAAACGGATAGACATGAAGGGCTAAGTGCAAACCAGACAAGTTGTCAAACGTATGAAAAATTATACTTTGATCCTTCTAATTATAAACTCGAATTTAATTTATTTTTTGAACTATCAAACTTTTCATATCATCTCCTCAATTATTTGAATATTTTACATTGTCTTAAATATAAACGTCAATTATCTTTTTGGATAAAAATTACCAAAGTGTCAATTCAAAGTAATTTCAGGCTTACGCCAACTACTCCTTTAAACTCAGCGCTAGTCACCGTGACTTGAGTTAAGTTAGAACATGTCTTTAAAGGGACAGAAATGAGTCTAAATGATTACTCCTTAGGGGATGTAGACGGAATTAAACTTGAGACTTTTAGGGTTACTAAAGACTAGACTCAATAATTGAATCAACATTAAGAGTTATAAATTACATAAATAAAATAAAATATCGTTAACGCTAATATTTGGGGAGATGTGAAACTAATCACATAATTAAATGTAAAATATAAAAAATTAGTTATTTCCTGTGCCTTAAGGCACAATGTAATAAAAAATTGTAAACAATAAATATATTTGTATTTATATATAAAATCGTATCACAAACATAGAGAAGAGATAAAAGATTTTAATTATTGGTTTGTAGTAGTGGTGAGTGATAATGGTGGTGGTAGGTGACGGTGATGGTTATGGTGGGTGACAATGAATGTGGTGGCAGCGACAATAGTGCTGGTGGCAATACCGGTAGCGGCGGTGACAACAATGGTGGTAGTGGTGGCAGTGATAGGGGTGAGGGTGGTGGTGGTGGTGATGGGGGTGGGGGTAGCGGCAGCGACGATGGTGGTGGCGGCGACGACAGTGGTGGGGCAATTTCAAACATTATTTTTTTAAGTATTTATAAAAAATAATTTTTAAAAATCAATTCAAACACACCGTTAGGGCCCTATTTTTCCTATTAAATTTAGGGTGTTAATATTAACCATTAAATTAACTTTAAAGTAAATTTAAAATAATCTCAACCACGAATAACAAAAGTCATTTTATTTATTTTTTGAGATTTGAATTGTAAACTTCTTGATTATATTGATATAATAGTTTAGTGGAGAATGTGAGAAAGGTTATCGTTGAGGGGTCATAACTAAAGGGGTCAAAATGTAATTTTCCCTCAAACATACATAGATCTGACGGCTGTGTTCCTCTCAGTTGCTTCAACCTTTCTCCGCCGTCGGTGATTAAAATCATAAGTTCTCAAAAATTGGGGCGCCAAAACCCCCCACCATTCGTCCAAAGATTTCATTGAAAAGAAAAAAGAAATACTGAATTTTCAGTGTATGACACAGTATATATATAGATATATATATATCCGGGGCTTTGTCTGTGTCCATAGAGTTCGATTCGATTGGGATTTGGAGATTGAAAAAGCTGAAGAATGGAGCTCCAGAACACAGTGAAAGAAGCCCTAAACGCACTGTACCATCACCCAGACGACGCCGTTCGTATGCAAGCCGATCGATGGCTTCAAGACTTTCAACGCACTATCGACGCTTGGCAGGTCGCCTTTCCAATCCAATCTTTATCTTGATCTTATTGATTGAATTTTAGTTTTAAGGTTTCTTTTGAAATCTTTTTTTTTTTAAATTTTTTTTGAAGTGTGAATAGTGTAATTTTCTGAATTTTAATCATATAATAAGTAAATTAATCAGACGTGATTAACTGAATATGGAGAGTTAACTTTGACATTATTTGAAGGACTGACTGTCGCACCACACAATGTCTTACTGAATTGAATTTTAGTTTTTTGTTTTTATTTTGTATTTTTGAAATCTGAAATTCCAAATTTCAGTCAGATAAGATGTAAATTAGTCAGAGGCAATCAACTGAATATAGAGGGTTAACTTTGGCGTTATTTGAAGGAATGACTGCTGCACCACACAATGTCCTCACCATACATGATGCATATTTGTTTTTCTAACTTAATTGTTAAAAAAGTAAGCATTTTTTCGCCTAGGTAGGTTGAGGAGAAAATACCAAAAAAAAAAAAAAACAAAAAAATTTTCATCTTGGGATTTCTTTAATTCTTTGGCAATGGAATGTAAATTGTGTAGAGGCTAAGAAGTTTAGTCCCTAACTTTTTTCTCCCCTTGATGGTGCTGTTGCTATTGGCTGGAAAAGTTAAGTAAGTACTGCAACAAGGGGGCATGCCAGTTATGATGGAGTTAAGGACTCAAATTTCCGTTTGGGTCTTGTCCCGAGGAGGCTGGAGGATGTCAGAAAAGCACCTTTTAGTCTTCTTTTAGTTAAATAGTTTGATTGGTCCGATTTAGGCAAAGATGCGATTCCAATTGTTCAATGTATGCAGGGGAGAATAGCCAAAATGCTTTGGGAGGATGAGAAATGAATATTTCAGTTTGGTGTTCAGGATAAAGGATTTAGGGGTGACTTGATGAAGATAGTTAGTTTGCTGGACTTTCAGGGAGTTACATCTGGGAATTTTAGTGTTGCAGGGTCTAAAGTTGAAATTTTGGATCTCGTAGAGAGTATTGGCTTGATAGCTCTACTGGGTTCTTTATCACCAAATGGCTCTAACAGGCTCCTTTTCAATGCTTGTAGACTTTAAGTTAAGTGAATTTGATTGTTGTTGGATTCGTGCAGTATGACCCAAATAATCCAAGATTTTGATTTTCTGAGAACATTTTTTGTGATTGTGGTGTTTTTTACGCATTGTTGCATGTGGAAAGAATTTATGTGTTCTTAGAAGATCAGAACAGAAACTTGGTAGTTCAAGAGTCATCAAAAGCAGAAGAGGCTTTGTGACTTCCATATGGAATAGCCATTAGAAAAATCTCTTTCAGATTTAATCTTATTCATAAAGTATGGAGGAATTGCTGTTTATTTTTTTGGTAATATCTCTCACAAGACTCTATAGGAGCAACTAGATGTTGATATCACTGTTTCACCCATAACTAGTTTAAGTCACCTTTGACTCTTGGGTTTGGGGAGAGAGATTCAAATTTTCATGGATGGGAAGGTTTCAAATGATGCAAGGAGTGGAGATAATATAAATGTGATTATAATCTGAAGTGAAAAAGGTCTTTGGAAAGCTGAGAGAGGAGAACAACAGGAAGGCATAATGTTGAAAGAGAATGATGGCATTGATAAATTGGAGGGAGTGGGGGACACTTTGATATACTGAGGGAGAATGAAGGAAAGGTTTAAATTGGTTTGCAAGCATTGGTTTTAGTGACAAAGTAAATTGCTGCCATTAATCTGAGCTTAAATGGAGCAAAGGGGATAATTCGAATTGCATATTTATTCGTCAAGTTGTCACTAAAGGTTCATGACATTATCTAAATTTTGGAGCTAAACCATAAGAAATTTTGAAGAATTAAACGCTCATTTGCTGGAGATGTTGAGATATTGCTTCATTCCTTTCCATAGAAGCCAGGAAAATTGTTGCTTCAAGGAATTGGATAAAGCTCTTTTTTACTGTCCTAGAGATGGGTTGTCCGAGACTAATCTGGCGATGTCGCCTGATAGTAGTGCCTCGTGGCTTACAATCCTTTCCAAAGAGGAAGAATGAAGGAGATTGAATAAAGGCACTTTTACTTTCCAAATCTCCAATGATGGATCGAATAAAGGAATGAAATGATTATCAATTAAAGACTCAAAAATAAGATTTATAAGACAAAACCTTGTCAAATTACCAATCCAATACTTCCTATCCAAAGATTTTGAACCAAAGTAACATTATTAAATGTAGAAAGAAGAATCATCAACTTTGAGCACTCCCTATCATTGAGATTCATACGAAATTCAAAATCCCAAAAAATCAGATTAGAATATAACTGAGGCATGGATGCAATCAAATTACTTGAATGGCAAGAGACACAATATAGTCGTGGAGAACGAGTGGTCAGAGTTGATGATTAGAAGATTATCTTTATGATCTGAAGCTTCCAATCTCATGTTTGAGTTGTGGTGGCAATTGCTCATCTTTGATGGAATCTTATGCTGCAAAGCCTCAAAGGGGAAGAATTTTGTAGAACTTCTTAAAGTCAATTTTTTTGCTTTGAATATTTTAAAATTCGCCTATCAATGATATAAATTAGAGGGTAAAATGCAATACAACATCCTGAATGTTGGTTAAGGCAGGAACAAGCTATCAAGGTACAGTAATAGAGTCCAACAATTTGTCTAAGCATAGTGTGTAGATGGCTATAAGTCTCGTAATCTGCCTCACGAGGGTGCTGCTTTTTCACTCAAAACACGCATCAGTGATTTGCATCCCAGATCGAAAAGAACAAAAAGGAAAAAAAGTGGATGTGGCACCCATGGGCAAACTGGTACATTTTGAATTCCGGGGTTCTTTATCAGTTACTTTTCCATCTAAATTTCCAAGTAACTGTACATCTTTTGTTACACAAATGTTTCTCTATTTTTTGTTGGCATGAAGATATATATATATATCCTGGGAACAGTGTGGAAGCAGTTAGTCATTTTGAAAATAATTATCTCCAAGCGGCCAAAAGGGAGATAAAGTTTTTGGGGCAAAATCTAAGTAATCCCAAAATAATTATAAAATTTGGAAATTAATTTTCTTCTCCTGGAAATTTATTTTTCAAATTAGTTCCTTTCCATTGTGATACAAAGATGCTTTCTTCCATTTTGATACAAAGAGAGCCTGAAGCTGTAGTTTTGCTTTATTTGTTTGCTGCAATGCCTTGGGCTGTTGGATCTTGCCCTTTCTTTTTAACATTTTTCCAAACTGTCACTCATTGCGGATGAGAAAAAATGTTTTTCCAAAAAAGAAAAGCAAACATAAATACGATACCAGTAAGATAAAATCAGTGGTCAACTTGCAGTGACGACCTCCATTTAGGAAAAAGTTTAATGTGTAGCTTTTTATAAGGGGCAAAAAAGTTTATTTATGATAGTTTCTGCTGGGTAATTTTTTGATTGACTTGAGGACTGGTGCATTTATCAATAGAACTTAGTGACATGTGTTTCTGATGATAATGGGATATTATTACGCGTTCCTCTGGCCTGCTGATCTTTTTTTCATTTTGGTGCAACTCAATTCTTTTTCGTGCTGAGTTAGTTCTGATCTTTTTTCCCCTATCCAGCTATTGGAGTTTCCATCATGCTAATTTTAGATTTATGAGTGTGTTAAATTGTTGTTTAGGTTGCCGATAATTTGCTTCATGATTCTGGTAGCAATCAGGAAACTCTAATCTTCTGTTCTCAAACCCTCAGAAGCAAGGTAATATTCCTTTTGTGCTTTCAATCTTTTGGAGTTACCTTGATTTATTTTATTAAGGCGAGATCCTCAAATTTGTACCATGTACGCAAGTGTGAATTCTGCCTATAAATTATGTTGTGGTTGATTATACGTGGATTCCTTTTTTTATTTTTATTTTCTTTTCTATCTACCCTTTTTTATGGTAATTTAGGTTCAGTGTCGTTTGTGTCTGATCGATAGGTACAGCGGGACTTTGAAGAACTACCTTCTGAAGCTTTTCGCCCGCTTCGGGATTCTTTAAATGTGAGTGTTTTACATATTTACACAACTAATTCTTGGGGTCAAATTTTGGATGCCAAAGTAATCTGGTTGGAAATTTTTATATGATTCTTTGATTTTGCCAATTGGCCATAACATGTTGGTCATCGCAAGGCTTTGAAATCAATAAGGTTGCCAATTCAGAGGTTGCATTATCTTATTTCGTGTTAGTTCCTTTTCTGGTATATGCATATCTTTCTCTGCCCAGGATGTATGTGCCTAGCACGTACAACTGATAAATACATGTAATGGATCTGATTAGTATTTTCCACTACGCCTGGAAATAGGGGGATTAGAGATGATGATGAAGAGAAGTTTGCTTATTTTCTGGATGCTTATGATCTTTTTAATGTTCAAGGTTGAAAAAGATAAAAAAAAAAAGGGTTGCTACTTAGGTTTTAGTTGGATTTCACCTATGAATTTGTAGTGCACACATCTTTTGGGAGAAACTGTTGTGGAAACAGGCTAGGTTTCACTGTGTTTTTCCTTGTTACCCTGAAATGATGTTCTGTTTAATTGCTGTATTTCTTTTTGGCACACGAAACTTGTTTTAGTTCATGATTGTGCATGCTTTCAGGCATACATACGTGTGAACCAATGCACATGTCTCTATATAAATGTTTTTTTATATCTGTGGGGTTTGATGTCATGGTGATTTTGAAGTGCAGACCTTATTGAAAGCATTTCACAAGGGCCCCCCTAAAGTTAGAACCCAGGTATTATTGAAAGTTTTTGTCATTCAAATACACCTGTGTGTTCTCATGAACAGATACACATAAAGACACACACACACACCCTATCCTGTTATTTATAAATAATTAAATACAAAGAGGATACTGTGCTAAGACACTATGCTTTATAGATTAGCCTTGCGGTGGCTGCATTGGCTGTTCATGTTCCTGCTGAAGATTGGGGAGATGGTGGTATTGTGAATTGGCTTGGGGATGAGATGAATTCTCATCCTGAATTTATACCAAGTTTTCTGGAGCTACTCAGAGTCTTGCCAGAGGTAATAGCTAAATGTAGCTGTGTTTAGAGGAAAACTGTAATTGCTTTCTTCCAAATATAAGTCTAGTTGTGCTATGGGCACTTGCACTTATATATGTCGGGGGGGTTTATTAGTGGATGAGCAAGTTTGGCTGTTTATTCACACGTGTGCAGTAATCGATCTTTTGTCCTAAATAGAGCTAGATGAAAAAAGTTACTACGACTGCTGCCTTTATCAAATTATGTTAGCACAATGAATCCATGCCTTAATTTACCAATAAACAGGGCACTTATTTGAAGTCAGTGCAAGTACAAATATAATTCAAATTAAAGTAGTGAACCTGCCTGGTTTTGGTACAAGTACAACACAGATAACGTATTTTAGATTTTCAATTTAAAGCAGTACTGAATTTTATCATGGTGAATAAGATGACACTTTAAAAAAAAAATACAATTAAAGCTTTTTATTAGTAAATATGCTAATTTTTTTGTGAACAGATTTATAAGTCACATTTTCTTGAAGGAAACTTTTGTATATCTTGTGAAAAAAATTAGTACCTCTAAGTTTAATGTTGTTTCATGTTTGATTCTTGCTTAAACTATGCATATGTTACCTACTTCTAAGGTTCACCTCGTTTTGTGACACATTTTATGAGTAGGAAAATAACTACAGTGAGCAATTCCCCCTCCTGCCTAGTTTCCAGGCGATCACTTGGTGGTTGGCCATCCTCGGTAAGTGATGCTATCCTGATGCATACAGTACTGAGTATGCCACCTAAGACCATATATATTCACTCAAAGTACCAATATGTGCTGGGATAGAAAACTAATCGAACTAGCTATGTTAATTCTGTGACTATTAATACAAAATAGTCACGGAAACAACTTTTCTGTTTGTAGGAGTAAGACTGTGTACATTTGATCCTCCACAGACTCCATTGTGCACTAGGCTGCCCTTTTTTATTTTTAATTTCGTGACTAACTGACTATTATTTTTTTAGTTCTTGTGTATATTTTGTCTACCATGGTGTACATAGACCTAAGAAGATACAAAAAAAGGTGAAGATTGGGTGCATAACTTCATTTGGTAGTTGTTAACGATGTTGAAGTGAAACACTTTAATAAAGGGGACCCTCTATCTCCCGTTCTTTTTAATTTAGTTATAGAGGGATTGAGTACAATGTTTATGAGAGCTACACAACTTTGTCTTGTCTTGTCCATAGTAGTGGAGACAAGAGAAGATGGAGAGATTTCGTTTGGGGAGATTCTAAGGAGGAGAGGAAGTTTCATATGTGGTGGATAGGGTGTGCAAACCATGCACCAAGGTGACTTGAGAGTGAAGAGGATGCAGATCTTCAACAAAGCCTTATTTGGTAAATTGTTGTGGAGATTTATAGTGGATGGATGAACAAAATTGGCAACAATAGTGGAGGGGACTTCTGGTTGCTGATGGGGAAGGTGGCTATTGAGAGACTTCTGGTGCCTATGGGGTTGGGGTGAGGGAGGAGTTTCTGGATTTTTGTTCGTTGTGGAGTAGGGGATGGGGGAGAGTGAGTTTTTGACAAGACAAGTAAAGTGGAGAAAAGTTTTTTGGGTGATAGATTCTTGATACTTTTTAGTGTGGCATCCAATGAGGAGCATCAGTTGGGGAGTGTCCATAAGGAGTGGGGCAATACAGTGTGTCATCATATTTTTATTGGGAGGTTGTGGTAGTGGTGAAGTTTTTGGAACTAGTGGAACAGGTGGAAGTGGTCTCGGCGTGTCATGAAGAGATGGACTAGGGAGAGGAACATGGAATTCACCGTGAGACCTTTCTCTAATTTATAGAGGCCAGCAAAAGGGTTCCTTTTCAATGTTCATGCAAGGGGATATGGAAGACTAGGTCTTCATCTAAGGTAGCCTTTTTTGAATTTACGACATCATGGATGATCTATTCTCACATCAGATAAATTGAGTCAACAGGGTTTTCAACTCCCCGATAGATAGTCCATGCCCTTGTTAGTTGAAAAATTCTTGAGCCATCTTTTGTTGTTTTTCCTAGTTGCACATGAGATATGGGCATTGATCTTTTTGGTTTCTAATATGCCATGGTGCATACCAAAATCTTATGGGGAGGAGCTATAATCCTATGTTATGGTTTCAGGGCGTGTGGTCTTTGGTTTTGTTAGCATTTTCCACCTTTTCTCTTAGCTTGTATACACTTGTATTATAATTATTAATAACATTTTTTTCTTTGTCAAAAAAGAAACGGGAGGGTAGTTAAGGGTACAATGATGTCCGTAGATGGGCTAAAGCAATCACTCTGTATCTATATGGATACGGACCCGGATGCGATATGACATAGATATGTAGACATGACATAATTGTGTTTTATATACAAAATTGTATAATTTATCCCAAAAATATAGTGATAATGATATATTATACGTGAGAAATTTAGTACTTTATGATAAGCAATTGTTATGTCTAGTCATCTAGTGTGAATTTTTAGGGTAAAACATCATAATAGTCAATAATTATCAATTATTTTTAGACAACGTGCACCCAACATATATAATTTAAATGATTGTTATTGTTTTCTCAATTTCTTTTTTTTTAAAACTTTTATTCATCTTTTACTTTTATTATTATATTTTAAATATGACTTTAACATGTCTAGTCTTGGTAATTATATGTTCTGTCATAATATAAGATGTTTATAGTCAAAATTTTAAACTTTGTTAATCACTTGTCAACACATATTTATTGTTTATTAATAGACATGGTATAAAGAAGTGTTGGATACATCACCAAAGAAGTGTCGGATACTTGTTCAAAATTAAAATGTTATTATTTAATAATGGACACGAATAGAAGAGTATCGAACGCGTGGCCGAAGAGTGTTGGTGTCCGACATTGGATATATTCTTTATTTTTTGATGAATGGTTTCTTCCTTTTGGGGTTGGTCCCAATTTCTTGAGTTCTTAGAGAATTGGGACTATCTTAGTTGGTTTAGCTCTTGATCACATTGTGATTAGGAGATGCTTCATTAGTGTCCAATGTCCATTAATGAAAAAATACATAAACTATTGTAAAAGTAACCAGAATTTGAGAAGTGAGGTTTTGACATTCAGCAAGATTGCAATTACACAGAAGAATGTCATACTATTTTGATGCTTATTATTGATTGACTAACAGCATTTTTTTTTGGGTTTCAATCATCAACTCCTTCAAGATGCAGAATTTTTCCTCTTACGGTGGATTTTACATGTAAATGCTATGTCTTATATGTAATTGTTAGGCCCCTTTAAAATGTAGGAAGTTGCACGTAAAATTGTGCCAAATACTGAGTATTGCAGGAAGTAATTTCCTGGTAGAGGGAATTACTCAGATTATGCAGTTATTATAATTGTTGTATGTATGATAATGTATTGTCTATGTTTTATTGGTATCATAAGATACAGCAACGGTGAGAATGAAGTGCATATGTTGGCTTCCTTGTAAACTTCTATGTATCATGTACTGCATTCTGTATCGGAATTTGATAAGGTTTTATGCTATGTCTACAACCAGGAAGTATTCAACTACAAGATAGCAGCCCGTCCTGACCGGCGCCGCCAGTTTGAGAAAGAGCTTGCGTCTGCCATGGAGGTTGCTCTTAACATCTTGACTGCTTGTTTGAGTATCAATGAACTTAAGGAGCAGGTGGGGGATTTTCTTCTTGTGGTTTCTTGATGCTGTTATTGTAGAATAAAAGGCCACTGTTGTTGTTATTTCTAGAGTTTATTTTCTTATGGATTATCTACTTGATGCACCTGTTTACTGTGGAGGTGAAACTATTGTTAAGTTAGTCTTTTGTTGATCTTCTTCATCTTTCATTAATTTACAAATTCTTGGGTTAGCATCTAAGGTTGGGATTTAAAGTACATGTGAAGCATGAAGAAAGTAGCATTAGTGCATGGAGTTTAGTGACTCGATTGAGCTCACAAGGTGTAGGCTGAGGTGTGTCCTTGACTTGTATTTAAGGAATAATCAAATTTGATAGTTAATTTGTTTTCTGGCATGAAACATATCTTTCTTTGTTTTGATCTTTCTATTGATAATGTTCTTTCTATTTACTGAATGAAAAACACAATTCTGTTCCTGATGTCGATATCGAAAACTTTTTTGTAGAAAAGACCCAACCTTTGAGTCACTGAAGATTCATAAGTATTTAATGTGTCTGCGTGCTGCATAGTCATTTGGAACAGCCTATGCTTGTTAGTCCTCCATTTTAAAGAAAAATTCGTAATTTTGGGTACTTGGCTTACACTTCATTGACAGTAAAGGAACTTGTGACTGACAGACCTTGAATATACAGCTACATAAATGGAAAGATTATAACTGTGTAGAAACTCAAATTGTGGGCCTATGTAAAAATTTATTGAAGTTTTATGGCTTCTGTGTATTGTATGGGAAGTTTGATAGATTTTAAATGAGTATGCTACATGGAGGTTTGATCAGAGGATTGGGGATTAGAGGAGGAGAAAAGGCATCATAATTGAATTGTACATATGCATCTAAAACTGCATATATACATATAATCACGGACATAGATGTCTCATGTCCTTGGTCATATGTTTAGCCAGTTGATAGTTTCCATTTGTCTGTGCCATGTCATGTTTGTGATTGTCCCATGCAGTTAATTATTCCATTGTCTTCTTATGTTATCTGGTATCGAAATGCTCGCAGCTGCTATTTTGTTTGTATTATTGATTAATGAATCTTTTTCTGTTGGGGGAGGAATTATGATTGATTCGTCTATGTGAAAGACCCACACTTTTTTGTCATCAATATAGTTTACCAATGCAATGTTAATGTTTGAATAACATGAGACTAGTTTTGTGGTGTGTACTTCTCTTTTCCTGAAAGTGGCCAAAATAATCTTGAGGAGCCACTTCTCTCTTGTGAAGGATCTCCAGATGTTAAGTTATGCCTCTTACCTAGCATGTGGTTGGTAAATCATGAAGTGAGGCTACCACTTTCAGAGTTCAATTAAAACGACATGTGCATATCAAGTGACATTTTCCAGCTTGATGCTCTGAATCTCCTTGTTTTGAGTTGACTGGCAGGGGTCAAGTGATATTCTTGTGTATATTGATTGCGATAGTGCATTTTGTGTTCCGTTATTTCCTTCGTATGCTTACGATAAAGGAAGGTTATTGTAAAAGTGATCTATGGAACATAATATATGCATCCTCTAATCATGCGAATGGATTTCTGATTATCTAATCTGGCAGGTGCTTGAGGCATTTGCTTCTTGGCTTCGGCTTAGGCATAGGTGTGTTTTCTCTTTCTTGTAATCTCCAGACATTTCAAATATTGAGCATTGATTTGCTACAACTCTATTTCCCTTAGATATTGAACTACTTTTCAACAGTTGCGTTGTCTTAAATCTTATTTGGTGATTAATTATTTTATGGGTTCTAGTGTTGCTTACAAATTGATGAAGGATTTCTGGACACATTATTTGGTGTTTATTACCTTTGTCTTCAATGACTAGGATTTCCATGGGGAAATTGAGTATGCTGAAGTACTTAGATTTCTACTCATACATGCATTGTTATTAATAAATAACGTTATTTTAGGGACAGACAAAGTATTGAAATTATAATTCTTGAGTGGTATCTTTACAAAAGGCAACAACCGATGCAAAATAAAGGGAAAGTTGAGCATAGTCATGGCACAACTCCCATGGGCGATTAACACAATTCCCATGGGTGATTAACACAATTCCCATGGGCGATTAGCTCTTGTACTTATTTGTCAGCGGCAATTATAAAGAAATCTACAAACAGTATATTCCATGCAAAATTTTTCTCTCTTGCCCATTGCCTACCACAACAGGTGAATCTAGAAAAGATCATCCTTTCATAATTAGTTTCCAAAGGCTCAATTCATGTGAACTATGAGGGAGATGCTTATTTTCTTATATAAATTCATCATTTTTTGACGAGATATGAATGCATTTTTTGCTACCTATATGATGAACGCACACATCCTTCGAATTGGTACACAAATCATGGACCTTCTGTTGGCAGGTGGCTGGAGTTGATGTACAAGATAAAATTTTTGATCAATATATGAGGGAGAGATTGAATTTTTAAAGAAGTTTACTGCTTGGATTTAATTATTTTTTTTTGCCTGGTCAACATTAATCACATTCTGGTTGAAACATTATGGTTTTCACTTTATTTGTGTGCTCTTTAATATTTTTCGATAGTTTAGGAGAAAGTTCTTTTCAGCAAACAAAAAGAAAATATCTTGTGGGGTAGAGAGGATGCTCTGTGGTGAAAATGCAATGATAGTGCTAAGTTTGGTGTGAAGTTGTTGTATAGGGTAAGGGGTGGTGATGGTGTGCTGGGTTTAGCTTGGCATGTTGAAGAGCCTTCCAAGGTGGTTTTTTTTTTTTTTTTTTTTATGAAATTTGGTCGATTACTTTTAATGTGATTTGGAAAATTATTTGTGTTTATGCACGCAAGCTGACCTGGCACGGTGGCACCTCCGTGCCGTTGCTTATACACTTATTTACTTGTATTTTATTTAAAAATAAAAATATCCTTTGCTTTGAAACGGTGATGAAGTTGCTAATTTAACCATATAAGAAGTACATACATATTATATAGATATGGTTGTAAGATATGTTTGTATGTACTATGTAATAAAATGTGGCTATGGAAAATTATCTGCTTTTTTGCTGTGTATAGTACTTGCATGAATGTGTTGTGATAGAACAAACCTATTTAGAGGTGGTTCTTTAGACATGACTTTCTTCCATATGCAGCTTATGCATTTGCCTACTTTGTCAACCAAGGTATCTTTGCTCTACATAGAATAGAAAACTTTCCTGAGCGCAAATGCTCTGATGCTGATGCATGCGAGGAATTGTCTGCTTGCTTTTTTTTAGTGTTTGTGAAAGCGAATTGGTTCTAATTTGTTGTCTGGTTGATATGCAACACTATCTTGATTCTTACGTCACATCCTGAACTCTGGTGAATATGGTGTCCTTATGGTACTTCTTCAACATCTCTTGGTTTCCAGGATCCCTGCATCTACACTTGCTTCACACCCCTTGGTGCTTACTGCTCTCTCTAGCTTGAATTCTGACATGCTCTCAGAGGCGTCCGTAAATGGTACTGTGGAAAATACAAGCTAATGTTTCACTTTTGGTGATTATTATAGTTTCACACTCTTTGTTGATCGTCTGAAGCTATTTATATGTTATTGTAATGTTACATTGTTGACAAGGTTTAAGAACTCCAGTTTTGTAGTTGGTTGTAGAACTGTTTGAAATTGCCTTACCTAGGTATTTGCAGAAAAGACTAAAATACTTGAACTACCAGACGCCGGAGCCCTGCAGGCACAGGCATTGCACTTCTGCTCCCCGTTTCTTGCTCGCTCTCACACACACAGAGACACACAGACACCCCCCAGGTTGCATCGGGTGCTTGCCACTTGCCCCATTCTTCTTGGGTTCCTTCATGTAATACCTTCATTTCATGAATCCCTGATATTTTTCATGAAACTTGAACACCAAGTAAAGCTTGGGCTGTCAGTCTACTACTCCTAGCACCATTGATTAGCATGGGATAACATTATGTAATGACGTTCCAATGTTTGTGTTTTCACATCCTTTGGTGATATAGTTCAAGGTATTACTATGGTTCTGCTCTACATGTCCTAGTTGTGATATATATAAACTATATCTGATTTTTTATTTTCATGCATTGCGAAATTGTCTGTTATAGGTTGACCATTTTGACTTATTTCTGTTTTAAAAATTTCCTTGTTTTACCTTTCTGCAGTCATTTCTGAATTGATACATTACACGACAGCTAGAAACTCAGGTGGAGTTTCTGAACAGATGCCCTTAATCCAAGTAATTGTGCCACAAGTTATGAATCTAAAGGCACAGCTTAGAGATCCTTCAAAGGTATTTTGTGAGCATTCTTGGTTTCTCTGGTTCTTGGGTGTCATACATGCAACATTAAAGATAGAGAACATTTTCTATTTACTACCGAAATCATAAAAGGGAAAGAGGTTGTCATGATTTTTGTTTTTTTTTTGTTATGTTCTAGATATTTTCTCACTAAGGTCATGAATTGCAAACCAATGAGTTTCATTGGATTTTTTGACTTTCCTATCTTTGAACCATATCTAGGTAGACTACTGCTTGAGGAACATTGGGCAATGTAGAATTGCACCAGTAAGCTGAAGTTAATCAACATATTTCATGTGGGGCTGCAACTTCTTTTCCAGTTGTTTACATCAGCACTTTCTATTTCTCTCCCTGTTTATAATGTTATTGCTTTGAATTTTTGAGAAGAGAGAAACGTATATTTAAGTTTATCTGAACCAAGCAGAATTATGACACAAAGTGTGTGAGGAATTGAACCATTAAAATCATAGTTATCTCAACATAATATACAAGTCTTAATTTCTTGATTTTTTTTTTGTGTAAAAATAAATTTAATGTACCATTCTACAAATGCAAGCTCAGTTCATGGAGTTAGCTAATAATCAAGAATCAAAACGTCGTCTTGTTTCCACCGAAACGACCTAACATTTCGGTTTCATGGAAACTGGAGCGTATTATTGATGGAAAATCGAAATTGTCATGCTTTGGAATGTTTCAACCAATATTTCGGAATCAAAATTCCATATGTTCTCTCTTTTGTTATTATGTTTTTGAAACATTTCCGAAGTGTTTCCAAAGTGATTCCGTCTCCGAGCTAACCGGAATTTGCACCAAAATAAATTTTGATTCATGCTAATAGATACTAAGTTAATTTAAAATTGATTAAGGTAATTCTAGTTTGAACCTAGGGTAAAGAGGGGCTAGGAATGCTTGGGTTGAAGCGGACCTCCTTTTAAGTTCTTGTGGAGAAAAAATCTCAATGTCATGTTATTTTGGCTTTTACCTGTCTTGGGCCTTCCTGTCAGTGTCATCATGCTATATACTTACGGGCAAACTTTAAGAACATGAAAGAGAAGACTCGTGAAGGGACTTTTATGTAGTTCATTTTGTAACAGATTTTATCACCCTAATAATGATATATATTTTTCTCTCCCCTTTCTTTTTGTCACCTTTACTTTCAGGATGAGGAGGATGTAAAGGCCATTGCTCGTTTGTTTGCTGACATGGGTGATTCATATGTTGAATTGATAGCAACCGGTATATTTCTTCTTCCATTAAGGAAAGTTTTCTCCCAAGCGTTTTTCCATGTTTTGTGCTCAGCCTGTTTTGGTTCGAGAGACAGAATATTTTATATTCGTTCTGATCTATATTCCTCTTTAACCCAAACAACATTTTTATTCAGGTTCTGATGAATCAATGCTGATAGTGCATGCATTACTGGAAGTTGCTTCACATCCCGAGTATGATATTGCTTCCATGACATTTAACTTCTGGCATAATCTTCAGATGATATTGATTGAAAGGTGAGTTTATTGAGTTCTACTTCGGTAATTGTGCTTAAAAACATGTTTTGAACATGACCTTTCTTATCTCTCAGGGATTCCTATTTATCCTTCCATAATGAAGAGTCAATTGAAGCAGAGAGAAATCGCCGATTGCAGGTTTTTGGCTCATCATATGGTTCACTAGTATCCTTGGTGAGTCCTTTAATTTAGGAATTTGCTCGTCAAACACTTCTAAATTGAACATGAAAACACTTTGCACAGTTGTCAAAAGGCATACTGTTCAAGGCTTCTCCAAAAATCATTTCATGTCATGGATGCCAACATGCATAGATGTTTTTTTGTTCAGTTCTGGCATTCCTGTCAGCTCGGAAAGAAATCATATGATTCATATCTACCTTGTTTATTGTGAGTAGATGCACTTATCCATTAGAGAACAAGGGATGCATTATCTTCGTGCTGGTACCTTCTCCAGTGTTTTTATTGCCAATAAATGATGCTCCCTTGAGCAAGTGAAAGTTAATTTCTAAATAAATGTTAGTTAAAACAGGTTTCAGGAATTGCTTGTGAAATGGAAAAGAAACTATGGACAGATATCTTTCTATACTGCGGTGCAACTATGCTTAAAAAAATTCTGCTACTTTTAGTGACTGCCAGAGAATTATTGTTTTTTTGCTCACTTATTTCTTTGGTGCACAGGTTAGCTTCAGAGTTCAATATCCCCATGATTATTCGGACCTTTCAAAGGAGGACCAAAAGGATTTCAAACAGACTAGATATGGTATTTGTTAATTAGTTACTCAAGGATATAATCATTGTTCACTGTTAAAGTTAATGTTCCATAAAATTTTGATTGGATGGTATCAATCATGAACTGAACTCAATTTAACATGGCTTTGTCCGAATATTTTTGGGGTCGGTTATATAAATTCTTTTTCACCATGATGTTTTATTATGGGCCATATTTTCTGTTAGACCATAAGTTATATATTTTTTTACTATTTCGTTTAAAGATAATTTCACTATTCTTCTATCCCTTCGATTATTGTCAGTAGTTATCACATCTCCCATTCACACAAAAAGCCCCAATTGGGCCTCTCTTTTTGTTTCGATGAAAGCCTCCAAGCTCATGTTCTATGGGGAACTTATTTGACTTTTTATCTTCACTTTAAAGCCGGAAGCAAAAGGCAAAAACTTCAAAATTGGTGCAGTGGTAGGCTATCTATAAATATATCCTAACCACCTCAGTCAATTTTTTCTTAATTTATTTCCGATATGTACTACCCTACGTTTTCACAGATAATTTCATTCCTATTCTATCTTTTCTAGTTTTACCACACATCTATCCTAAGATTTTCATTTCTATGACATTCAATTTTGAATTTCTTGTTTCTTAGTTGCTCAAAATTCAGTACCATAAAACATAGTTGGCCTTATGACATTGTTTTATAGCTTAAGGGCATGCGCCTATCACACAATACATCAGATGCATTCTTTTACTTAGTTTATCATGCTTTAAGTTTATGGGTAACATCATTACTAGTCTCACATTCTCTATAAATTACTGACCCCACATATCAGAAGTATTCACTCTTCGCTATCTCTTGATCTGCAATCCTTACTACTTTTCAATTTTGATTTCTCTTCTTACTAAAGTTACATTCCATATATCCAATTTTAGTGTTACTTATCTTAAATTCTTTTAATTCTAAAGCCCCTCTCTAGAGTTCTATTTTATTATTAATTGATTCTTTACCAATCAACCAAATTAAGTCTTATGTGCTAATCATTTAGAGTCGATTATATGAGTCCGTTTTCGCCATTCATTTCGGTCATGCGTTATATGCTCATTTAAGTTAAATATTTTCATATTTTTTTTTTATTATTTTGTTCAATGTTAATTTATGACTACCCATACTTCTAGTACCATTAAGAGAAATTTTATCATTTTTTCTAACCGATACCTCTAATGGCTTCCGTTGAACAAGACCAAATCATCTTAATCTATTATCTCTCAACTTATCTTCAATTGGAGCTGCTCCTACCATTTCTCTAATACAATCATTTCGTATTTTCTATCTTCTAGTTTTTTCACACCTACACGTTAACATTCTCATTTCATCAATTAATACTATATCATTAGCAAACAACATACACCCAAATGGAATGCCTAGGTAATTAGCTATAAGGTACCTTTACCTTTTTAGAAAGAAAAAAATCTTGCCTTAGGTATTATGAGGAGCGAATGTAAGATTGCTTTCATGATATCTAAGTCAATCGAAAATACCAGAAAAGGGCACGCACCGCTGGGGGGTGAGATATATAAACATGGCACACAATACATAATATAAACAATTGTTAAAGAATACTTTAAATGATGTTTGTTTTGGTACAAGGTCACTTTCTTTCTTTTTTATTCATTCTTCTTCTGACTGAGTAATTGCAAAATAGTATTTCCTCATAATAGTTAGTGTAAGTAATGTAAAGAAAAAAGACCGTTTAGTCCTCTTTGAATGCTCCCAAGGTTCCAAGATTCCCTTTTTTTTTTGGCTTTACTGAATCAAGGTAGGGCCTTCCAGCATTCTAACAATCTGTCTTTCTGGAGGTTTTTTTTTGCTTCTTTTTTTTTTTTTTTTGGGGGGGGAGCTTTTTCATTGGATCCAAATTTTGTTTTTCTCAAGTGTCTAGTCTCTTTTAAACTGATAAAGTGCATTTAGAGGGTTCATAAAACTATACAAACAAATAGATACTGCTTAATTTTAGTAAAGACCATTTCAATTACGTAGGACATGAAGATTATATTTTCACTTTTCAGGGTAACCTACTGTTGTTTTCATAATTTTCGGTGAAACCTCATTTTTGTAGTAATTTAGGCCTTATCAGTTGACAAATTTTGTTCTCTGGACTCCATAATCAGCTGAGGTGTATCATAGTGTATGCACACTTTGATATTATGGTGCCTTTCTAGTGCATAATCAAGTTCTTGGACCTTACAGCATCAGAAAGTAGTGAAATGTTTGCTCAAATAGAAATCCCATAGATGGAGTTTTTTTATGTTGAATGACTTGGTCCATTAATCTCCTTCCATCTATGAACAAAAGACCATTAATACAATTGTATATTTGAAAAATGCTACTACTACATCATTCTGTTTGAAATGATTTTTTAACAAATCTTATAGTAATGTATTTTCCCAGAAACTATGTTGTCGCCTATTCAGTTAGATAAGTTTACTTTTAGGCTTTTTTTGGAAAATTCCTGTATTGTTGGCAGTCAAACATGAACTTTGGCATCTGGAAGGGACTAAAGGTTCTTGTTTGCAACCTCTTTCTTCTCTGCGTACTCCATTGTGTATTTGTTGCATATTAGTCCATGCACCATAGTCTTTTCCGTTCAATGGGTAGGGTCGCGTTTTCTTGGTCCAGTCAGAAATGATTACCGATGCAGCACGTATGTTCACCTGTATACACCTGCTATGGATTTTCCTTAGATTTTCTGCACTCGTTGCATGATATGGTATCTGTTTTTCCTTGTTTGCTTTTTATGGTTTGGAAGATTTTACATTTTTCTGCTGCTGCTGTAAATGAGCACATAGTGACCATCCCAATTAAGGTTTCCTTCATGTTCTACATGTCTGATCTCCATTAACGAAGATGATATATTTACTAAGAGATCTGATACATGCTCTAAGTAAAGGGTGTAATTGGATGTAAGAAAACCTAAATTTCGGTTTCAAATCTTCTCTTCTATACCATTTTTTGATGCAAATCTTATTTCTGTGTCAACTGCCCAACTCTTATATTTCCTAAATTTTCCGTACCTGCATTCTATAGCAAAGATTCCATTGTTTTTGGGGAGGGATTTTCCAGGGTGGTAATATAGCCGAGTAAACTTTGTCATAATTTCCATGAATCTGTGCGTGTTTCAGTCGGCATGAGCAGAGATAAGCAACATATGTTTAGACAAAAGATACATTATATGAGCATCAGGATAAAAAAAATTCACAAATTCAATGGGTGAACATGAAATGTCTGTAGATGTTTTACCTTAAGAGTGGTCAAAACGGTAGGCTTTGATGTTTAAGAAAGTTGCTACCAACCATGTATATCTTAAGCCCTTTTGGTCTGTAATTCCATGTTAGATATGCTGCTGATTTCAACATTTCTCCTCGTCTCTATCTCTGTGTGTTTTTGTTGTTGTTTTTTTTTTTTTTGGGGGTGGGGGGTGGGGGTGGTCTTTGTGAATTTAGGGCCTAAAGTCTTGTTGAGCTGCTGCAGGAATACGTGGGAAAACTATTAAATTTGAAATACCAAAGCAGGATTTCAAAGAATAAGGCAGAAATCTATCTTGGATTTTTCATCAAAACCTGCTTGTTTGTTATGCTTTCTTTAAGAGTGTATGATGCACCATGATACGTTTTAGAAACTTCATTCTAAATTTTTGCAGTGTAAGTCTTGGAGCCGAACATTTTTCAATACTGACGGATTCTTTGATGTTGCCAGCTGTTGCGGATGTCTTGATTGATGCTGCTTTAGTTTTAGGAGGTGAAGCTACACTGAAAATTCTTTACATGAAGCTTGTTGAGGTGTGCAATCATTTTCTTTTGTTTTGATTCTGTGGAAGTTTTTTCTATTCGAGAATTCATATAGAAATCCCTATCTGAATCATACAACACTGTATTAAAAGTGAAGTGCTGAATGTTGCTGGAAATTGCTAGTACTGGAGGCATGTACCACTTTATGAATATTGGAATTCTAAAATTTAACTGCCATGGAGACCATGGAAGTTGGGTGCCACCTACAAAATCACTATGGCAGAACTCATGTCAGCCACCATGGTTATTATCCACTGCCGTTGCCTACGCTACAAAGTTGTTCTTGCAACTCAAGTGGCTCAACTACCCAACTCTACAAAGTCTTGTCCCAATTTGTTTTGGCCATTGTGCTCTATTAAGGGCCCTAATATCCGTTAAACTATGTGATATATATCTATATATATATATATTACTATTTCAATGATTCTGTTTGAGGTGACTGTTGCTTATGACTTCCTATTGTCGCTGAGAATATCTTGTGGAGAAGTTTCTTGCGTTGATGATGTGATCATGGTGACAGAGGCAGCGATAATACTTGTGGTCGTGCCATGGTATCAATGTTTATGCTGATGTTGAGATGTTAATGGTGATGATGGTGGTGGAATCATTCTCCTAGCCTGGTTGTAGGGATTGAGGCAGCCTTACTGGTGTTATGGTGATGAAGATGGTGTATTAACAAAAACGATATATGAAGACGGGGGTTGGTGATTGTGCAGCGATAGGGGTGGTTGTGGCCGTCATATTTTCAACTGTTTCTTCATTCTTTTTCCTTCCATGTTTGAACTTTCATGTGTTATATTGGGAAAAGGCACCTCTTTCCTTTAAGTGTATTATTTTTCTTGCACTTAAAACACAACCACTGGAATAGGCCCCAAATCTGATTTCCAGCTGAATTCTTCTTGCAACTTTTTTGCACCGAATACACTATAATGGTTTTGATGCTTCCATGCTACTGACGATGAGAGATAACAAGAATGAATGGCATAAAACCATGAGAAAATAGTACGTGGATGGTAGAATAGAAGACATTCCTCATGGACCCTCCAAATCTTTTTTGTAGAATGCTGAATTTTTGATAGAGCCTCGGAGTATTTGAGAGCTATAATTTAGTAGAGTACACATAAGCTATAATTTAGTAGAGTACACATACTTACAAGAGACATTGGTCTCTCCTAATCAAGGATCTAAATTTTGTTTCGATACATTGTTTTGGTCACCTAGAAACGGAAACGTTTCGACCCGTTTCAAAAAAAAAAATGAAAAAAATAAAAAATTTAAAAATTATTTTTTCAAAGTATTGGTCGAAATATATTAAAATATCTTAAAATACATTGAAACATTCTGAAACAATTGTGCAAATGCATTGAAACATTATAAAACACCTCGAAACATTAGAATTTCGATTCCATTACTGATTTGTTTTGATCTCCTTGAAAATGGAAACGTTTCGGATTTTTTTACTGTTTTGAAGTGAAATTTTGTTCCTTGCTCCTAATCTGACTCCTTCCTTTGGGTGACAAACTAGAAAACATAAACTTTTGGCATTCTCATCTTGTTTTCTTCAAATGGCTTCTCTATTGAAGCAAAGTACAAGAAGAAAGGTGTTTTGGTTTGAGAAGAAAAGAGAGAAAAATGAACAATATTGACACACATGTGGTTTCAGTGAAGATGGTGGAAAAAAGTATATTAAATGTGAAATTCCAAATTATTCTTACGCTGTCTCGGTCTTCCTGGCATTGAAATGAATGGTCGAGGCTTGCTAAACTTTCCTATTACATGGTTATTTTAGGCTGTTAGTAGCGGCAGAAATGATGAGCGCAGCGAATGGCGTCCAGCAGAGGCTGCTTTATATTGCATCCGAGCTATATCAGATTATGTTTCTGTGGTTGAGGCTGAAATAATGCCACAGGTTTGCATGTCCTTTAAATTCATCCTTTAAATTCATCTTGCTAAGACTTGAATTTGCAATTTGGTTTTCTGTGGTCCCATGCAATTTTGTTTTAAAAATTATGTATTTGTCGTTTTTGTTTTCTTTTCTCCTTCTCATTGTTCATTTCTCTCTTTGGAAATTATCTTTCGTATAACTTCTATAATTTGCAGTTTTATGTTATGCTTGCTTGGCGCAGGTTATGTCTTTGATTTCAAAACTTCCTCCGCAACCCCAATTACTTCAAACGGGTAATCTACTGGTATTTTTTTAGCTATGATTCATTAATGACCCTTTTCTATTCCCTCTTGAAAATGGTGCTGCTTGAGGAGATGGTGGTTATTCGCCTTATGAGAGTACTACATTTGTTTGTGTCCCAAAGCCGTCTCATCTTGGTTCTAAAAGTAACCTGGTGAATGGACTATTTCTGGCTTCATAGTGTGATTTTTTTTCTCTCCAAATGTTATCAGTATGCTTAATTGTTGGAGCTTATTCAAAATGGCTTGATGCTGCATCTTGTGGACTGTCATTCCTGCCTTCAGTCATAGATATTCTTGTGAGTGGCATGAGTATGTCTGAAGATTCTGCAGCAGCGGCTGCTCTGGCATTTAGACACATATGCGATGGTACAGACTCTCCTATGTTGACTACCACTTTTATTTTTATTCTAGCTATCTGCTAACTGCACATTGCTTAATAAGTCAATGAAGTGGATTATTTCATGCACAGAATGAGACCCAGTTTCTCTATTTCAGCTGTTCGTGTTTTTTACCTCTATTCAGCATAACACGATACTTAATTTTGTTTTTTTGCATTTCATGAGTGATATATGACTTTCAAGTTTGTATATGATATTTCGATATTCGATACATGCCATGTAAGTAACAAAAAGAGAAAGAAATAGAAATGTCATATATAATTTTGTATATATTTTTAAATTTGTTGACTCGTTCAGGGATATTACGATTTTACATAATTTATATTGTCTCCATGTGGATAACTAAAGTAAACCAAATAGTTGAAAATAATAATGCAAAAAAATGAACATATACAATAGGTTGAAAAAGATAGAGATAAAGATATTAATGTCGTTAAAGCCGAAAATCAAGATGAAAATGTGGTTCATAGTACTATAAGAATGGATTGTTTTGGATTTTGCTAATCTTTAAGTTTTGATATTGATGAATTATGTTGTAAACATGAATTTATAATATTGTTTTGAAACTTGAATTCTTTTTTAAACTTGAATGGAATCACATCTATATGTTTTATAGACTTAGAGAGGGCATATGATTGGGTCCCTAGAGATATTTTATGGAAGGTTCTAGAGAAGAAAAATGTTATTATTCGACGTGATTAAAAATATGTATGAAAATGTGGTGACCTGAGTAAGAACAACGGTTGGAGAGACTGATGAATTTCCAATCTCACTAGACTTACATCAGGGTTCTGCCTGAGTTTATATCTTTTTACGTTGATTATGGATAAATTGATTTGGCATATTGAGGATGAGCTTCCATAGTGTATGTTATTTGCAGATGATATTGTATTGGTTGATGCAAGTAAGGAAATAATTAATAATAAAATAGAAATATGGCGAGAAACTCTAGAATCAAAAAGATTTAGGACAAGTAGAGCTAAAATTGAATATATGAAGGTAAAAATTAAAGATCAATAGATACCGAAGAGTGAATATTTTAAATATTTAGGGTCTATTATTCAATGAAGGTGTGAGATTGGTGATAATGTTACTCATAGAATCAATGCGGGATGGACTAAACGGAGAAATGCATCTGAGGTATTGTGTGATAGATGCATGCCTCCTAAGCTAAAAGAAAAGTTCTATGGAACAACCATAAGACTGGCTATGTTTTATGGTACGAAATGTTGGGCAATTAAAAAACACTACGTTCACAAATTGAACGTGAAGAAAATGAGAATGTTTAGGTGGATGTGTGGTAAAACTAGGAAGGATAGAATTGAGAAACACATTATTCATGAAAAAGCTGAGGTGACACCTATAGGGGATAAATTAAGGAAGAATCAACTTATGTGGTGTGGTCATATTTGTAGACTGTGTACTGTGACGCTGATGAGAAATAGTGATATGATAACTTCTGGTTTAACAGAAAGAATGACCCATGATAGTGCACAATGACAAAAGATGATTCATATAGCCGACCCAAAAAATGTTGGAATAAAGTTTTGTCGAGTTGAATTGAGTTTATAAATTGAGTGTATCTAATAATCTATCTAATGTTATAGCTAAGAAGTTGAATTTTTAATTTATAAAAGCACAACAATAATTAAGATTGATTCAACTTTCATCTACTTTGATTAGAAGGTACAAAATTCATTCCCAAATTTATTTTTCCTCTAAAAAAAATCATATTCTCTGCACGGCTCCAAATGTCAAAGACTAAGACAACTTAACCAGCACATTCCCCAATGCCAAATGAATCCAATAATCCACACCTACATCTCTCTTCTCTCCTTTACCTAGATTTTTTTTTCTGTTCATGTTAATTTTAAATTATATAATTGAAAGTAAAAATAAATTATTATTTGAAATAAAAATATTGCACCATTAATGTTCGATTTTTGTATTATAGAGTATCTTCAAGTACGAGGTTATTGATAGTACACAATATGTTATGGTATAGGAAATACAATTTGTGCACAAAGGTACACATTTTGACCACCTTGGTTAGCAAACTTTGAGTTCTTGTTATTGGTTGAAATGTTGTTACCTACAAAATGGAAACCCTAAAAAATATCGAATTGAAACCCATTTACTCCCAAGAGTTTTTCCTTTTTCGGGGTTTGTTTTTGGAGTGGGAGACTTGCTTCAAGTTTATGTAAGCTTCCTGTTCTAACATAGTGCGTGTGTTTTATCTTGTTGGAATTGGGTTACTTTTCATGTAGAATATTCATCTCTTGGATTTATTGACATTTGATAGTGTATGAAGATTTAAAATCACTCTTGCACATAGTTTTGAATAACGGTAACGACCGTCGTAATGGTCATGATAATGGTGTAACGGACACGGGTCGAAAAGGAACGTTATGCAACGGTAACAGAAACCGAAGACATGATTCTTTTTTTCTTTCAATTCACACCACCCTTAAAAATGAATGTTGGTTTATTTTAAGTCCAAAATCATGTTAATTATATGTGCTAGTACATGAAATACTAATAATTATGGTGTTGTTATGTTAAAAGTTCATAAATAAAAAGTGAATTTAGTGTTCAAAATTAAAAAAATATTATCCCTTATCAAAATGTAAAGTTATAGTATATTTGAAGAACCAATCCTCACGTGGCTTGCATATGAACGCCATCATCTTAGCCTCATTTAACCATAGCTATGTGTTTAAGAATCTCTTTCTTTTTCTTCGTCTTCTCCATTTGTTGTCTGTCTTCCTCCACTTGCTCTGAAGCAGTACATGAAGCCACAACCAGAGTTTTTTCGGCGATCCAAATGATTTAAAAAAAAAACTCAATAGCGGGTCAAAAAAGATGAGAAGAGATGAACAGTCCCCAGGTTAGTCCCAAGCCCCATTTCCTTTCTTTTTCTTCTTTTTTTCCCTTTAATTCCTTCTCAGAATCCTCATAACAACCAAATCCAATTGAAGTTTTTTGGTAGAATCTTTATAAATTCTATCCAAATGATTAAGATTTTCGAGTTATGATGAATCAATTAAAACTCTTTATGGCAAGGGTTTGCATGTCTCCCGGGTTTTCGGGTCAAAGCAGGCCATAACGGTCTGTTTTAACCCGTATCGCCCGTTACACACCTGTTACCCATCCGTTACGGCCCATTACTGTCGTGAAATCGAAAAGGAGTGATAAATCGGAGTGTAATGGGATCGTTCACCGTAATTACCGTTATGTAACGGCCATTATGCCATTTTTCAAAACCCTGCTCTTGCATAAATTCAAATTGCTTTACTCCTTCAGAATGCTTGCTGGCATGGGTGAGACTTATTCTGGCAAGCTTTTGTGAGACAGAAAAATGGTTCTCTCATTTGACTCATTTATAGTTTCAAGTTCAGTCATGACCCATTTCTCCTCTCAAAATATGGTTGATATTTAATCGGATCCCCATATAGTAAGAAATACTTGTTACTTTGAATTAGTGAAATAAATGAATTTACAGGAGATATTTTAAAAGTTTCTGATTTTGTCTCAAGGTTTAGGTCTCTACAATAGTAGCTTTAATACTGGCAATGACCAATTCCACCATGTTAGTTTTTTTTTTGAAAATTTCTGTTGCTCATTTCATTTGATACAATTCTTCTAAATCAGATAGTTCTTTACAAGAGGATTATACCTCTAATCCCGTTGACCTTCAAGTGATGAAGGGCAGAGGGGAATGAAGGGGGACTTGATCTACCCTTGTTTGAATGAGAGCAATTATCTTAAGTGAGCAAAGAGAGTAGAGATGACTTTGGCGGTGTAGTTTTCTTTCATGCACCGACTCATGTCATGCGTCTGCCTAAAAATTCTATTCTTTGCTTCATAATCGAATAAAGAGGCATTTACAAAGCAGCAAGCAGTATTTGATCATTTTGTTAATGGAAGTCTCATAAATCGATGGTTGTTTATTGTATCAGTCGTGTAAAAATATGAAGTTGCCCGAATTAGCTTCGATTTGGTTGTTTTGGGCATGGTTATCTGGATCCGTGGATGGAAATCTGCTGGCACTGATTGCAAAGGTTACTGGGGACTTAATAGTTAATTCTGAGAGAAAGTTATGTGTTCTCCTCTAGTACATTTTGGTATATTTTATGTCTCTGACATCTGCAAGGTACTGATTGGCAGTTTGAGGATTGTGTTGTTTGTGGTAAGCACTAAGCATTTAGCTAATAGTTAATTCTGAGAGAAAGTTATGTGTTCTCCTCTAGTACATTTTGGTATATTTTATGTCTCTGACATCTGTAAGGTACTGATTGGCAGTTTGAGGATTGCGTTGTTTGTGGTAAGCACTAAGCATTTAGTTATAACTATGTTGGAACAACCGCTCTACGTGATGTGGGCGACACAAAAGTGTTACTCTAGTGGAGGTTTGGAGGAGATAATTCTGGCTTTAGTTGTTTTATTATCCTTTTATTATGGTGAATCAGTGCTAATTTAGAGACTGAAGTTTTCAATATGCCACTCTAGTAAAAGAATTAGAAACTGCTTGTAAGCTCTGTTTTTAGGGCCATGTTTGAGACTTGGGTGATATTTTAGTGGCCTCGGGTGGGTTGTAGCTGTTGGTGGCACACATGGCTGTAAGTTCTTTTCCCCCATCTTTGGGATGATTTCTTCATGCCAGTGCTGTAATTTGCGTATGGCCTTCTCTACTTTGGGCCTTAGCAACTCAATATGACATGCCTTCTACATAATAATTCCCTGCAATTTCTTTGGGTCTTCACACAAGATATTCACCAGTTAGTAGTTATTATTGAGGGAAATGTAGTTGCATTGCAGCATCGCGATTCTTTTCAGATTATTATGAAGTCTGAATTGAAGTTATTTGTTATGAATGTAGACTGCGGCAAAAAACTTAGTGGATCCTTAGATGGTCTCTTTCAAATATACCAAGGGGCAGTGATTGGGGAAGGCATCTTCAAGGTCTCTGCTGAAGACTCATTGCATCTAGTTGAAGCTTTAAGGTATCAATGTGCTATTGGAAGCCAAAAAATTTGGTGGGTTGAATGCTTTATTTGATTGCGTATTAAACCTTCTTTTGCAGTATTGTTATTACAGAACTTCCTTCGGAGCATGCTAATAAAGCCCTTGAGGCTTTATGCTTGCCAGCAGTTGCTCCTTTACAGGTTAGTTTCCTGTCCGAGAACTTTTTATTTGTATTGTGAGGGATGATACACCAACTTATGAGGTCAGCATTCAGGAAATTATCAATCAAGGTCCCTTGATACTGGGACAAAAAACTGCTCGTGAGCTTACCGTTCATATTGATCGGCTTGCAAATATTTTTAGGTATGATAGTAATTCCTCTACTTTTCTTGTTCAAATCTGTTAATCTTAGAATTCTAAATTGTGTACGTTGAACAATTTGCAGACATGTGAATCACCCAGAAGCCATCGCTGATGCAATTCAAAGGCTTTGGCCAATTTTTAAAGCCATCTTTGATGTGTAAGGATTCCTAAGCTGCTCCCCAATAGGATGATCTTCCCCTATATTTCTTTCCCTGATTGATCTTCCTTTTCTATTGGTTGTGGTGCAGTCGTGCATGGGACATGCGGACAATGGAGTCCCTTTGTCGGGCTTGCAAAAATGCTGTAAGTTTTCTGAACTATGATCTTTCTCACCATGGTTAATATTTGGAAATACCTATTTTCCTGTAATTAATTGTTGTTGCTTTTGTCTGTCCTTGATGTGTCTCTTAATGTACAAAATTCTTAATTGTTTCCACAGTGCTCATGTGTTGTTGATACATTGTACGAACATCAGTGGTACATCCTCCTCCAAAGTTGGTTATAACATTAATGAAATGCATGCCAATGATGGGAATCATAATCATGGGCAACTAGCTTTACCATAGTGCCCTTGTGTCACCTTTCAGATTTGTCGTTGGTACTTTTGTTTCATCATAGTTCTCGTTTTGTGCAACATAGCTTTTGTTTTTGGTGGGTTCTGATGAATTACAACATCAGGTTACACAGATTCAACAAATATTATTTTTTTTCCCTGCTTTCCAAGAGAGAATAGATTTATTGTCTTGGCATAATCAGCTTGCATGTCAGAGTCAATTAAACATGCTGTAATTTGCCTAGTTGCTCCATCTTACTATTTCAGCACTCCTTAAAATTCAGCATTGTGAATGCATTTTATTCTAGAAACATATATATATCTGCATACATGGACTTCTGTTTTGGTTCATGATTTATGTAACCAATCAAATACATGAGGTCTGTTGCCTTTCTCACGAACATTTCTAAGTTAGAATTTTTATCTTATTCTCCTTAGAGTATATTTTGTTGACTCGAGATATGTTGTACTATGTATGAAATTACTTGTTATGGTTGCAGAGAATGGTATTCATAAAATTCTATGAACCAAGAAATTTGATGTGTCCAAGGGCAAGGTTATCCAAGTCAGATTCTGTTTACCTCACTTAGTCAATCTGAAGGTTGATAGCATGAATCGTTTATAAGGCACCTTCTCCACTTAGTTACAATCACAAGATCCAGATTTGTTTTGTCAAAATATGATCCATGCCACTGATGGGGCTTGACCGTCTCTGCATTCCTTTTAGTGTTCAATGGCCCTGTTCATGAATACCTGCAGATTAAACCTTTTTTCCCCTTATTAAAGTCATCCTACCATTCTAGTCATGTCTCATGCCCCTAGTTTCGACATCAGAATTTAAACTCTTAAGTTCTTTAAATTACAGCATAGTTTTCGGGATGCTGTTCCAAATGTGTAGTTGAATTTTTATCACCTAGAAAGGTTGCACTCAGGTTTTCTAGAAAGAAGTTGTATGCACAGTTACCTTATCATTAAATGCACTGACAAAGAGTCCTGATTTGTTCTTAATATTATGTTGAAAGGAGCTGCTTTCAATGTGTTAAAATACTCACCAACATATACATGGTGATATCTCAATTTTCTCAGCCAACTCAATTCAACTCAACAAAGTCTTGTGCTAACATTTTTGGGTTGGCTACATGAATCCTTTATCGCCATTGTGCTCTATCAAGGGTTTTTTTTTTTTTTAAAGTTATTATATCTTTCTTTACTATTTCATTTAAGTTTAATTTTGGCCTTCCTCTACCCTTATGCTTATTGTAAATCGCTATCATATTACCTTTTTTACTGGTGCCATAATAGGCCGTCTAAAAATGTGTTGAAACAATCTACGATTTTCCCCTAATTTATCTCCTATCGGTGCTACCTCTACTTTTTATGGATAATCCTTCTTAATTCTATCTTTCCTAGTTTTATCACACATTCATCTGAACATTCTCATTTTTGTCACACTTAATTTTGAACATATTGTTTCATAGTTGTCCAATATTCAGTACCATAAACCATGCCAGGTCTTATGACCATTCTATAGGACTTGGTTTTTAGTTGAAGGGATATGAGTTTATCACAGAATACATTGGATGCATTGATTTATTTAGTCCATCCTGCATTAATTTTATGAGTAATATTGTCATCAATCTCACATTCTCTATGAATAATAGATCTTAAAATTTTAAAATATTAACTCTTCGGTATTTTTTAATCTTCAATTTCTGTTATTTCTTGATTTGGATTCTTTCTTTTACTAAATTCTCATGTCATATATTCAGTTGTAGTCTTACTTATCTTTTAATTTTAGAGCTTATTACCATATTTTTAGATTATTATTAATTCTTTCTTTACTTTTATCAACTAATACAATATCACCAGCAAATAACAAACACTATGGGAGCTCATTCTGAATATATCTAGTCATTTCATTCATAATGAACTCAAAAAGATATGGACTCAAAGCAAAACTTTGATGTAAGCCTACAATGATTGAAAATTAATTAGTTTTTCTGGTTGTTTTTTTGGCTAGGGTCATTACATTTTCATACATATTCTTGATCACATTAATATCACAATAATAACTTTTTTCATCTTTACAACTCTCGATAAAATATTTCTAGGGACTCTATCATATGCTTTGTCTTAGTCTATAGAAACCATTTGAAGGTCCTTATTTTTCTATTTATACCTCTTTAATAGTCTCCAACGTAAACATCTAACTTCCATTGCTGATTTCTCAAAGCATAAATCAAAATTGATTTTCAGATATCGTAGTTTTAAACAATATTACTTGGATTGTGGGTTGCTTTGAATCGTGGGTTACTATTGTACGTAGTACAAGTACGGATACACTATACGACACTTTCTTAAGTACACGGTACGTGAGGATAGGCTTAATTGATAGTGTTTTAGGTCACAATTTGTTTTTGAACTCTTATCTAGATCGTTTTTATTACTATATAACATAAAACATCTATAAACACTAAGTTAATTGCCATTTATCTTACATTTCTACTTAACTTTCTATTATCTAAAACAATATATATTTATAGATCTATATAGCCATAGTTAATTGACATATATTTTATATTTCTGCTACATGTTTCAAAATAAATCAATTTAGGATTAGTATTAGAATTTGAAGTCGTACATTTTGGTGATTTAGATCACAAATCTATTCTATTTGGGATCATTGTACCTAAATCGTAGGTTGTCGAGAGTTTATTGAATTCTGGTAACTATGGTTTCAAACCTTAGTCTTTGCTCAATCACTATTTCCTAAAGGTTCATTGTATGACTCATTAGTTTTATACCTCAATAGTTTGTACAACTTTATGTCTCTCTTATTCTTATGTATTGGTACTAAAATGCACTTCTTCTACTAATTGGACAATTTTTTAGTCATTTTAATTTTATCAAATGATTTAGTTAACCATGATATACCCTAACATTCCCTAGACATTTCCAAACCTCAATAGGTATACTATCCGGTCCTAAAGTTTTTCCTCTCATCATTTTCTTTAATGCCTCCTTTACCTCCAGTTTCCTAATTCGATGAAAAATATATTTTTGTTAATTTCTCTGTGATTTCTACAATCTTCAATGTCTAACCTTTCTATTTGATTTTCATTTAGTAACTTTTCAAAGTAATTTTTTCACCTTTCTTTCGTTACTTCGTTTTGTACTAAAACCCTAGTCTTCACTCTTTATACATTTAATATGATAAACATCTCTTGTTTCTCTTTCTCTTAATTTAGAAAGTTTATATATACATTTTTCTCCATCTTTTCTGTCCAATTTAGTGTAAAGATCATAATATACTTTGTACTTAGTTTCTCTTACCCTCTTTTTTATTTCTTTATATGTAAGTCAATAATTTTGAAAGTCCTCTTCATTTTTAGTTTTTTGTCATATTTTAATAGTACTCTCCTTTTACCTTTACCACAACTTGGTCCTCATCAGTCCATCATCCCTTGATCCTCCAAAAAACTCAATAGATGTTATTTTAATACATTCTACATTCGTATTCCACATTATATTTGTTTCATCTTCTAAATTTCACGTTATTTCTTTTAGTATTTAATATTTTATTCTTAAATAAATCTGTCTTTTCATCTTTCCAATTCCACCATTCAATTCTTGGATTTTTGATTTCTTTGTTATGTTCTATATTATTTTTAATAAATACATCTAATATTATTATCTTATTGTGTTGTGGGGTTAAGCTCTCTCTTGGAATGACTTTGCCATCCTTGCATGATCTATGATCCACTCATCTAGTTGGGAAAAATTCTATTTGATTTTTATTTAATTCACTTTTAAAAATTATTAAATGTTCATCTCTCTTTTTACAATACGTATTTGCTATCATAAGATCATATGCGATAGAAAAATCTAAAACAGTGATTTCTCAGCCAATTTAAGCAAAAACAACTATAATAATATAGCATCTACATTATCTAATTTTGGCTGGGCTTAATAATGTTCTTGCTGACACAAAATATTTGTGGTAAATATACGTGCTATATACCATAGCTGTACATACAAACATGAAAATCATCCCATAATTTATGCCACGGTATGATTACTGTTCTTTTTTACTGGAAGTTAGTATGGTTCTTGTGTCTTGCCAGTGAATATGAATTATTGATTTTTGTTAAGGTGAGGACTTCTAAAACGTTGATGGGAATTACAATTGGAGCAATGCTGGAAGAGATACAAAGTCTATATAAACAACATCACCAACCATGCTTCCTTTATCTCTCTAGTGAAGTTATAAAGGCATGTTTTTCTTTCTGAAGCAGATAAGTTATTTATTTACTTATTTATTTTGAGGAATCAATGGATCTTTTATTGCAGATATTTGGGTCTGATCCATCTTGTGCGAATTACTTAAAAGTCCTGATTGAATCTCTCTTTAGCCATACTACATGTCTGCTTACAAAAATTCAGGTATGGTTGCAGTAGCTAATATATTTGCCCTTTTCTTCTCGAGGTTTATTCAATATTTATTCTTTTTCTCCTAAGAGGTTTCATCTCTTTCAGGACTTCACTTCCAGGCCAGACATAGCAGATGATTGTTTTTTGTTGGCATCGAGGTGTATTCGCTATTGTCCTCAATTATTTTTTCCATCTGCGGTATTTGCGTCATTAGTGGATTGTGCTATGATTGGCATCACAGTACAGCACAGGTCAGTCTCAGTCACACGCGCACACACAAACACACCCACATACACTTTTTTGTTAAGAGTTCTAACCCCTGTTGAGATTCTTAACATGAATAAATAAAATTGTTAGGGATAATTATTCTACCATTACTATACGTCATTCATAGTCATATAGAGAAAAGGAGGAAAGAAGAAAAATGAAATTACAATTGAGGCAAAATATAGTAATGGTTCCTCAAGTATGCGTTTTGTGTCACTTCAGTTTTAATTTTTTCCGATGACTCTATTGTCCATCAAGTATCCAATTTGTGTCACTACAGTCTAATTACAAACTCTAGTTTAAGTTGATGAATATAAGTGGTCACATGTGTCTCATGGAAGTTGTCACATGGGTCATGACTTGTTATCAGTAGGTAGAAAAGAAAAGGATGAAAAGAAGTTTTTTAAGTGATGATATTTTAAACAATAGTGAACAACCTAGTAATCGAGTAATCCATTATTTCTTTTAGCTACCTACAGACATATCTAAACCTGCCTAATTCATCCAGCTTAGTTCATATGTCATTCATTTCATCTCTTCCCCCCACAAAAAAAAAAAAACAAACCTAACATGATATTATGGTGGGTAATTAATGGGGAGGAACTTAGACTTTTGGGACTTAGCCATGTTACTTTTTCTTCCTCCATCCTTTTTGTCTAATAATGCTCTGTGCACTGTATGATAATTGCAGATCAATTTATCTCATATTCAGTTATCCTTTTATCCTTGCAGGGAGGCCTCTAATTCCATTTTGACTTTCTTGTCCGATTTGTTTGATCTTGCAAACTCCAGTCAGGGAGAACCCTACCTATCTATCAGAGACAACATAATTATTCCTCGAGGTGCTGCCATCACCAGAATTTTGGTTGCCTCTCTTACAGGAGCGCTCCCTAGTTCGAGATTAGAAACGGTAGAATAAATTTACCAACTGTAAACATTTGCCTGCAGAGTCGGTATGGATGATATAATAGCTAAATCTTCATTGATCCTCCTATTCCCACAGGTGGTATATGTGTTACTAACGCTAACTCGAGCCTATGGAGTGAAAGCTCTGGAGTGGGCCAAGGAGAGTCTTTTGTTGATTCCATCAACCGCTGTGACAGAGGTAGAAAGGTCACGGTTTTTGCAAGCTTTATCAGATGTGGCAACCGGGGGTAATATAAATGCCCTGATGATTCCAATTGAAGAGCTTTCAGAGGTTTGCCGTCGTAACCGAACAGTTCAAGAGATTGTTCAAGGTGCTTTGAGGCCTCTCGAGTTGAGTAGAATCACTGTATCATAGTGTGGAGTAACACGGGCCATTTTTTTTTCTTTGGCCTTGTCTGTAGTCAATTAGTTGGTTGATTGTGTGTGGGCTCCTATTTCATTGAGTGTTGATCATTTGCCAGCTTCGACTGGTCCATATGCGTGGGAGGTGTGCTATTGTATTTATAAAGGGAGTTAGGAGGAGGAGGAGGAGGAAATGGGGGGGGGGGGGAGGTGGATTTAATTTTTGGCTTGGTAATTTTTTTGAGGGTGAAATTATTGGGTGTTGAGTTGTAATTTTGGAAGTCAATGTAATAGGTTATGAATTCAAAGCTAAATAACTCTGAACTTTTCAGTGTAAAGAACAAATTTTTAAAAGCCGATAGTGCTTGTGCAGAATAAGAACTTCGCAAAATCTTTCAGAATATACTTGAGAACCAAGCACAAGAGCATTTGTCATTTACAGCGGCTCTCTCCCATGGTCTCATCAACTAAGATTGCTTGCATGAATTTCGTAACCAAACATTTTTCAAAAGCCAATACAGTTTTGCAAATTTAAAGTTTTATTTGTGCAACAAAATTATCAGTGCTTGTGGAACTTGTAGATTTTGGTGCATAGGTTGATTATAAATTGCAGAGAAAATCACATCATGCTCCCATGAATTAAGAGAATCTCCTATTATGCTGTCGACAGATTTTTGGTATTGATATCATTAATTGTCCTTAACCCAAGTTCAATTCCATGTTGGGGTTGAGCTAGATATCCGAGGTCAAATTTATAAGGTGCATCATATGACTCAGCTTGATTAGATACAACTGAGATATAACCTAATAATTGCATTGAGATCACGTCTTGGTGCCCTTGAAATTTTGGGCAATTGAAAAAATGAGACAAAAAACAATAATACGCAAGCAGAGATACAAGATAAAATGCATCCCATTGGTAATAATTCAGTGTTTTACTATAATGAAATTAGAAGTTGCCCCAAAAAATGCGAGGATGTTGCACTAAATACCCAAGCCAGTCTGCCATAGTGCATGGATCTGATGCTCAATACAGAAAGTAAATAAAGAATTTCACTCTTCTATATTAATTCTGACAGTACTTATTATGGAGGCACTAATAGCTTCTTCTAATGTTAAACTGATGCAGGGCCACATGATGCATTTGTAAAAGCATTGGTTGACTATGCTATCAAGAAACTAAAGAGTGTTTACACATCAGGGACGAATGTGGCCACAAAGAAGAAGGTAATTAGGCAATTAGGAAAATCTGCATGGATGAGAGATTAAATTTTACTCATGACCAAAAGTGAAAACAATCTCTAATCTAAATAAAATCTCCAAGTACATGTACCGCACCACTCATCCTAAATGGTGAAAACTGACTGCCAAGTTGAAAAGGTTAATATCCTTGCAAGGGCAACCCAACCCAAATCTGGGTCCTATGCCAAAATATTAGATAAGTCCCTATGATAATATAATATAATAATATAGATAATATAATAATTATTCAAATATTAATACTATTTATTTAAAAATATTTTTTTTTATTTTTGAGATATATAACTTTAGTTTTTGTATTTAATTTTTTCATATATAATTATATTAATTGAAGTTGAATTTGTAGACTAAAATATAATAAAATATGCTATCAGTTAAAAATATAGAGAAAAAAAAATTGAAATTTATTAATATAGCAAAATCATTTTTCAAAGGATGAATGCTAGTAGGTTTTTGAATTGTAAGTTACTACAACCCACTTTGTTTTTTAACTACTTTGTGTATGTTTATTGTGTGCAATAAAATAAAATAATTAAGTAAAAACTCTGGGACAAACAAAAAAAATCTCGCATTTAAGCTAAGACTTGATTGCTTGTTTCTTGGTTGATTGCTTCTTGCAAATAAAAACTCCCATCTATTTATAAGCCTTTCATCTTCCAATGATATTGTCAAATGTTATAAAATTATGATGTTCCTAGATTTTTCTATGCAAATATCTAATTTTTTAATATGTATAAGAACATTTTAAATCTCTTTTATGTTTCTCTTTATATTTCTTATATATTCTAGAATGTTATTTGAAGATGTTTAAATAAGAATTTTTTTTGTTAGGATCCTCTAGAATATTTTTCCAAGAGATCTTAAAATTCAAGAACTCATCCTATGGTTGTTTGAAATTTTCAAAAAAATGAGACACGACAAAAGTCTCATTTGAGGTAAGATATTGTTTGTTGAGATAATTTATATTTTTATTATTTACATAAAAAAATAGATAAGACTAAAAAAATAAAGATAATAAAAAAATATTCATTTAATTTTGCAACAAAATTGATTCAATTTATATTCGTTCCATTTATAATTTTGTATAGTCAAATTTGTATTATATATAAGTTATATTTAACAGATTTATTCCGTGCTATATCAAATTTATTTGTTTATCATTCGTATTTATTAAGATTAAACTCAAACTCGTTATTTTCATATTAATTTTTTATTAAGTTTGTACATTATATCTAAAATTGTCTTAAATTAGAGTTCCTATAATCTTTCTAAGTGATTCTAAATTTTTTTTGGACTTCAAATAATATGGATTAAATTAGGGCCGTAGCCGGCGGCTTTGATTGCCTATGCCTAGGGCCGGCGGCTTCAAATAATATGGAAAATATCTTGCTGGGAGTGATTACACCCATCTAAAGTACACACACCATTCACGAGTCCGAAAGATGATGTGCACTTATCAAGCATAAATAATAATAACAACAAAGAACATCATCTCCCCGTCTAATAAAAATTCATCCCACACCACAGAAATTAAAGATCAAAGGTCCTACCACTGTACCATCACCATTAATAACGACTCAATTCCATCCACATTCTGACAAATACATCTCCTTTGCACGGACAAACAAGACAACAGTACCGATTTTATCATATAAGGAGTACAATTGACTATCCACCAGTAACCCCCACTTGGATATTTTCCCCAAAAAAAAACTAAAGAAAGTTAGAAACCACTAGACCAACCCCACCCATACTAGCAAACAACAAGAGGGCACTATTGCTATTTTCCTCCCAACTACCAACAAAACACAAACAAACAAGAATCTAAGATCGTACCACAGAACAAGTAGTAGCATATCAAGACATCACATGGTTCTGGTCTGTACAAAAACAGAAGATCAATTCGAGCCAAACTAATTACCTTATCATTCTTTTTTTTTCAAAAGTTATTATCTTTCTTATGCAACGCTAATGATGTTATCTCCATTGTTGAAGCCTGGCATCACCTGAAATGCTGAATTCCTCCACTCTGACTGATAATTCTGATCGGAAGATAGAGACAACTTCAGCGACAGGGGGAAAGCTTCAGCTGTTGATTTCTGATTTAAGTTGAGATCTGTCATTCTTGATGCATTAGGCATTGGAAGAACTGGGATTGGATGGACGAGCATCGTCGACACCTGATGACCTTGTCCCTGGCTAAGGCTCTCGATTGGATTCTCAATCTTTAGTGGTGATAGAACAGGGCCAACTGTCATCGGAAAAGGTGTTACTGGGAATCCACTGATATTAGATGTTTCAGGTGGAAGCAGTGACTGTGGTGGCAGAACTGGTTGTGGACTTCCATGACGAACATCTTGTTCCATTGGAATTGCCGTGACCTAATCACAATAAATCAGTTTACTCGGAAACAAAATGCTTAGGCATTGTTTAGTTAGCATTTTAATCTCGCTCAGCAAGCCAATTTTATTTTGGTTCTTTGCTTTCAAGGACAATAAATGGGAACCAAAATATTTTGGAAATACTCAAGTTTTTATGGAGAAAAACACAAAGGGTTAACTATCCCAAGTATGAAAAGTACTTGTTAAAACCCTTATTATACAGTGCAGACCCATAAAGCATCAACACAATAAACAGTAAATACAATTGATAGTTAAGGCTAATCCAACTTTGCACCCCAAAAAATACTTCATTTTTAATTTGTATTCTCAAACATTAAAAATTTCAATTTACACCATCAATATTATGAATTGGTAGTAATATAAACCTGACCTAACTTGTCGTTCAATTTTTTATCATAAATTGAAACATGTTAGGTGCAAGTACTGACGCCGTTTTGTGTATCAAAAATAAAATTTTATTAATCATATAGAGGCTAATCCAATCATGTGCGACTCACATCAGGCAGTCCATGCACGAAGCACTTGCGACTCACATGTTTCATTTATAACGGAAAACTGAATCAGCAAGTTCCACATTGTTACGAATTCATATATAAGGGTATAAATTGACATTTTTAATATTTGAGTGTGCAAATTAAGAAGATAAGCATCTTTCGGAATGTAAAGTGAAATTAGCCCTAATAGTTATCCGATGCAATTGGCTTTGATTGGTAAATCACGACTAGTCTATAAATTGTTACCGAGTCGGTGGTGATGTCAAAGAGGCTAGATCGGCGCCGACGGCGATTGAGGTTGTTTCGGCGGAGGAAGTATTTCTGAGCATGACTAGCAACTTGTGTCGGCGTGCGAGTCTTCACAAAATTCCTTGAGATTCCTCTCCAATCTCCTTTCCCTACTTTCTGCAGTCCTAATAGGAACAACTTGTGTTCTTCCTCTGTCCATGGAACTCCTGATAAAAAAGACAAATTCAGGAGCGTTACACAAATTCACACTTTCTTAACTTAAACAAATCAAAACAATTTGATGCGAAAAAAATTATAAACTTTCCGCAACAAAATACACAAAAAAAATAAAAAGTCACTAATTTTTCAGCATCAAAATTTTAGTCAACAGACTCCAAAATCAGCAAATTCAAGGTCAAATCAACAATCCATTGTTGAAAACAAAGATCATTAAAAAACGATATCATCGGTCATCATTTTCTCATGAAAAATAAGAAAATACAATAATAAATGTTGTCGAATTAATCATTTTCCGATTGCTTTTTGAAAAATAAAAAAGAAGCAGCAGCAGCATAGGTTTATTCAAAAAAATTAATAGATTTCTGATAAAAATGAAAAAAAAATCAGAAACTAAACAAGAAGATAATCGGAGATCTAACCTCGCTTACGCTCGCGACCTCCGGATGAGTGGCGGTTGACGGCCTCGTCGGCGGAGGCGTAACCGGCGGCAGCAATATCAGCAGCAGCGTTGGAAGATTCGTTGCTATTATAATTAGGCTGCTCGTACTGCGACAGATTGTTCATACTAACGCTTTTCCTCATAGGATCCACCTTCACTCTCACACCAAACAACAAAATCTCTCCACCGCCGGCGCCACCGTTCACGGCGGAGGATGCCTCACCGCCGCGTGACATCTTCTTTTTCCAAAATCAATTGATTGTGATGCGAGGAAGGGGAAATGAATCGAAGAAGGTACGTAATAGTCTCTTCCTCCTCCTCCTCCTCGTTCTTGTTGTGTAAAGGAGGAATCAGTGACGCCGTACACTGGGTTGGCTACAGAGAATTACGAAATGGTGTGAGTGAAATGGGCTGTGCCTTGGGCGGTGTGCTATATATATAGCATAGGACACCATGGATTTGGCCTCCTCTTTATTTTTTCCTGGGCAAAGTATAATAATGGTCCACTTTATATCGCTTTAGTTTTGGATCTCTTAATTGTGTCAATTTAATCTATTTAATTAAATTAAGAATGATAATTTAAATTGGCTAAGAAGAGATATTTACACGAGTCTCACATAATTATACCCAAAAGAATTTTTAAGGTTGGTCTAGTGATTAAATTTGTTCTCTTATAAGTCATTAGTCTTAAATTCAATATTTTATACACTCCTAAAGGGTCGGTCACTTTTGTTCATTTGAAAACATGTCATTAAATTAACTTGAATTACCATGACCGACTTAGCAATCGAGAAAATAATCGGTACAAACCTAAACACCTATAGTTAAAAAAAAAAAAAAAAAAACCCTAAAAGAACACTTTGGTCTCTCAAGTTTGCAATGTATGATAGTTTGGTTCTTTAAGTTTACAATTTGTGTCATCTTAATCTTTACATTTCTAAAAAAAAAAAATACGTCTCAAGTATAGTTATTTGAGATGCATGTAATCATCATCATTAATTAATTTAAACTATCGTTTTCAAATTGGATCAAAATGATACTTATTGAAATCTTGGGAGACCAAATTAACATAATTAAAATATTAAAGATCAAATTGAGATAAAACGCATAATTTTGAAGACCACATATATTTTTTTTTCCCTTTTTTCTTTTTGAGTTATGACTTGGATTAGCATTGTTTGGATGCAATTTAGATGGGTCATCTCAAATTTAACCCAAAATGTTTTATATTTAGATAACATTTGGCGACTATGGCAAAAAAAAAAAAAGAAGAAAAAACTCCACTTGAAACAATTCAATAGTATTTGGGTCTTTGGGGACCCAAATTGAACCAAGTCTAAATTAGTAAAATTTGGTTGAACCCAAATTAAATTTGAAACTCACTCTAAAACCCCCACCCCACCCCTACCCCTACCCCTACCCCCACCCCCACCCACGAAAAAAAATTCAAATGAAATCCAATTTAATGCAAAACTAAATCCAAAAATTTAAAATAGAGAATTAAATTCTACAAATTTTAACCTGAAGTTGACGCAAATTATAAATTTTAGAAATAGAAGCAATTAAGTTGAAGGGTCCAAGTTCTTTCTTGGAAGATAAGTTGAAGTGTCCAAGTAAAACTCTGCTTAGGAATTTTATAATTCTTAGTTGAACCTGAGTTGACCTCTAGACTTGTGTAAATTGCACCTAGTATTGCGTGATCAATAAAATCACTACTTTGATTCGTTTTAATGCATCATCACATGATGAGAATGGTCACATTAGTCGAATGAAATTTCAGATAAGAGTTTATTATATTTGTTTTGGATCGAAATTCACCGCTAGTGTTGCATGGATAATGATTGTTATTGTTAATGCTCTTCTTTTGCTTCCATTATATCTGTGTTAAATATTTTATTTTTGGTTATCTTTCTAAAATAGTTTTCAAAATAATAAAATCATAAAGCAAGTCAATTGTTCCCACAGTAGTAAATGTACTGCTTTTGGGTAATTACATGGTTTTTATTCTCATAAGCCCAACGGGTGGTTAAGTCCAGGAGAAAATTTGATCAGGACATGAAATCTAATTGGATGCTTTTGTCACACCAATATTGATAGGATTTGACTATGGAATCAAAAAAACAAAAAACATAGTAATATACTAATATTTATTATTTTTTAGATATTTTTATTACTATTGTGGTACTAAAAAAAAATGATAAAAATAATTACTATAACAGTGATAAAAATATCTACAAAAATAATAAATTACTAAAATAATAATTTTTTTATATCGAATAAAAGTGATAAAAATAGTTATCACAATAGTGATAAATATACCAACAAAAGAGATAAATTTTTTTATTATAATAATAACCACAAAAATTATAAATTATCAATAAAAATAATAAATTATAAAGGGCAATTTCAATTTTTTTATTTGATATCATAGTCAAGTCCATAGTGATATATACAACGTTTGAAGGACATTAAATATGAGTCATTCCAAACATTGGGATATTAAAGTATGTTGGATGACAGGATTGTCAGTAATTGATTACCTAACCAATTTGTTATTCAATTATCTTGGCTCTATCCACTTGATCCCATCTGTTTGCTTCTTTACTAGTTCTTATTATACACATCGTTGATATCAAGTGGACAACATAGTTAAGAATAGGATATATTTTATTGACACCCCTGAATTTAAGTCATATTTCATTGATAACCCCTTCTAGTTCTTGAAATATAGTGGCACACTCTTGTAATTTATGTATGACTTAAATTCGTGTGGTGTCCGTGAAATATAACTTAAATCAAACGAATGTTAGTGAGATTTAACCATAAGAATATCACTTTGGTGCCAAGCATTTTTCATTTTTTTTTAAACCCACCTTACCAAAATTTAGCAACACTAGAAAATAAAATTAAAATTTTTTTTTGGGTAATGTTATTAGGATATAATTTGAGGACATATTGATTATGACAATTAGATTATCAATGAGTTTTAGTATCGAATGCATTTCACTATCAGCAAATTGTCACAACGTACTATATTCTTAAATTGTGTATCAGTAGTATATTATAGTATTTTTTTTTCATTATTGTTGATGAAGAATTGTGTTTTTTTTTTGCTACAGGGTGTTTAGGTTTTCACTGATTATTTCCTCAAACTCTGAGTCGGTCAGTGTAACTCGAGTTACTTTAAGGACATATTTTTTATGGAACAATTGTGATTGATCCTTAAAGGGTGTGAGAAATATCGAACCCAAAATCTCTTACTTATAAAAAAATAGAATTAATTACTGGATCGCCCCTAAAAATTATGAGAGAATTGTGTTGATCTTGAGTCATTCAAACTCAAATAAGGTAAATCTTCTATATACATAAATAATAATAATATGATGTAGATCACAATAATGAAGGTAATTATACTTTAACCTCTTTTTTTGGCCGTTCCAAGTTGGACAATTTCGGTCTCTATCAAAGTGATTGTGTTTGATTTGGTACCAAATATTTTATAAATTGAGAGGAAAAAGTAAAAATCTACCATCCAGTCATGTCCAATCCAAACAAACATTGAACCCAAACAAATGATGTCATTATCTTTTTTTCAAATTGACAAAGTCTTATTAATAGAAAAATGTTATTTAAATATAATTTAGTGATATAATTTATTAATTTAATCGTTTATAGTCATTTGATTGATAGTAAATTCTGATATTTATTAGAATTTATTATCAACTTAATTATTATAATTGATTAAATAAATAAATAAAATTTAAATATTATTTCTGCCTCGGAATATTGAATAGCAGTATAACACCCATAATGTTGATATGGTAATTTATTTTGAGTTGGAAACCACTAGACAACAGTAGTGGCAAACAGGCTGGGTGATGATGCATATGAACCGTCTGCTAAGCATATTCCTTTTTCTGTCCTCTCTGCAGGGTCAAAGATTTTATTTTACAAGAGAATCATATATTTATATGTAAGTCTGCCCATGGTATTGCTGAAGCGGTTCGTGTTAAAAATATTTTATTGCATCTAATTTATTTATTAATTTGTGTTATATTAAGTTTATATTATATATATTTTTTTAATTAGCTTTACTCATATTCAATTTATTTATTAATCGTGTCGGATTGAGTCCACTAATTTTACAAAATAAATGACTTAACGAAGACTCAAACCCGCTAATTTCGTGTCATATTATATTATGACACCCTTATGATCTGAATCCGATTTCAATTAAAAACCTGATCCCATTAGCCGGAGGATTTTATTTGTATAGTCCATAGTCGAGTTTGTTAGAATTCAGATATTGGATTCAAATATGTGATACAATCTAATTAACTTAATTATGATTAATTTTAGTAAATTAAACCTAAATTTAACCAAATAATTGTTAAATCGATAAAATAAATTCGGATTCAAATTCTAATAAACTTTTGAGTTCGGATTAAAAACATCCAAACAATTGAGGGACTTATCCAGCTTTACATACATATGGGTGTGGCAGAGACGAGGACGAGTTGGGATAATGTACTAGTACTATATTGGATGTATCCTTGTACCTAATTTTTCAATCCAGTGCTACGCGCACTTAGAGAATTTGTGGAGTGTTCTGAATATAAGGTTCTAACAAATTCATACATGAATTTGGAATATCGAGATTTTCAATTTTGAGTTTCATAAAAGATACTGTAAATTGATGAACTTGATATAATAATGTGTGAATAATTACACATATCTGGAGAGTTTATGTAAAAATCACGAATTCTGATAATTTGAAAGAGGTAGTGTGAGGTGTGAATCAGCCCAGCCAAGTCATTAATTGTTGGAATCGAGTTTATGGGTGTTAATAACTTTTTTTTTTTATTTTTTATGGTTAAGCCATAAAAATTTTATCCTGCAAATCATGAAAAAAAAATGTCAATAATTTGGAATCCAAAACCGTTAATTACTTTATCTTTGGGAGTTGTCTATGGTATCATTTTTTTTTTGTATCATACTGATATTTATTCTTTTTGTGGGTATTTTTATTATTTTTATATGTGTTTTTATCACTATTATGGTACCAAAAAAATGGTAAAAATAGGCACCACAAAAATTTTGTATCAAAAAAAAATGATAAAAATAATTACCACAATAATAGTAAAAATACCCACAAAAATAATAAATCAACTACAAAAATAATAGATTTTTTTATTGTAAAAATATATGAGATTTGGGCTTTATCCTCCTGGCCTTT